CTAGCAAGTCAGTCGTAGGTGTGTGTGTGTGTGTATGATGCCTGTGTGTGTGTGTGATGCCTGTGTGTGTGTGTGTGTGTGTGTGAGTGTGTGATGCCTGTGTGTGGACGAGATTGTGTTTGTGTTTACATACACGAAGTCGCAACAACTTCCTTTCTTTTCTCTTCATATTTCGTTCATTTTTTTTTTTTTTTTTTTTTTTTGCTGTGTTTTCGTAATTAAAAATCAGCTGCAGGATATTTTCACCAGTTTTGCAAGCGAAATTACAAGCAGCATGTAAAGCATAAACAGCAAAAATCTCCAACCGAACATTCTGCTGCCCCCTCAGCCACCACATCTCTTAGTTTCCGAGAACCGCGAGCTGGTCTGAGGCGCATGCTGAGCATTTAATGTATATTAAGATATGTGTAACTCAATTGAATTCCGCACTTAAAATGCGCCTCATTGAAATTACAAATGTGTAAAGTATGCCAAGAGTGCTCGACAGGTAGATATCATCATATCACTTGATACGATTTCATTTCATTTGCTTGAAGTAATACATTTTCTTAAGAATGTTGTAATTTTATTAATACGTTTGAGTTTCTATTAAAATTCAGAACGGCCTTAGATCAGCAACTATTGAATATTATTATAAAATTATTGGGATAAGTAAATGAATATTTGAAATAAATGTTACTAACTAAAGAAATTCAACACAAATATCGACTTATAGCTGAGTCTGCTCCCATTAAAACAATACAGGATATTTACACAAGAGATATGGGCACAAAGCCACCGCACAAATGAATATAAGGACCATAAACCCATTTTTGTATTTAAATAATAAGCTTAACGACAGCGTTCGTAAATATATTTTGCATATGTATGCAAATCTGATTGAATGATTTAAATAAATAGTGTCTGCCAGCAACAGGGGGGCAAATGTGGTGCAAAATGAGAGGAAATGGAGAATCCCGTCCATTAACAAATATTTTTATTATAGTGTACTCAAATAACAATTTCACGTCTGCTGAACTCGAGAGCCAAATTTATTTGTGTAATTTATTTCCCAATAATTTATTTTGTATTAATTAAATGTGCGAAATATTCTCCGTTTTTATTTTTTATATGCATAAATATTTATTTATATATTTATAAGTGAGAAAAATAGTTTTTTTTTTTTTTAACTGTATAAATAAACTCCATGATGGATTTGCCTTTAGCAGTTGAAAATAAAAACTGAAATAAAATGGAAAAAGCCTTTTGAGTGGTTTTGAGTTTTTTGGGGGTGCGGCCTGTTTTTGACAAATTGACTTCGCTAGCAATCATAAATACAACAACAACAAGCGAACGCCTCTCAAGTATAATATTCATATTGATTTCAAACGAAACTCAAACATGCAAATGACAGATTTATTTTTCATGCTGTCGTTTCGCCTGTCAATCAACTTGGCCAAGGTGTTGATTGATGTCTAGACTCTCCTAGGCTCCTCCTAGACTCGCAGCTGGTTGAGGGCGGGTTTGTTTTTTTTTTTTGTTCGGCTGAGCGACGAAAACACATTTCATATACACTTTTTTCATTTTTTTTTTATTATTTGACAGCTTCGCATTCTGTTTTTCGGGTATGCTTCCAAATTTGAATGTTTGACTATGCTTAGATATGTATGTGGGTGCAATGCAAGCCAAATAGAGCGTCTTGACAACGCATGGGCACACTTGAATAAATAGGAATTTGATCAGGGAGCGAAAAGTAGGGGATGTGGTGAAACTACTAAGCCGGGCATTAGATATGCTTAGAAATGCAGTGACGCATGAATCAACCAATGTTGAGTGGGATTATTCGTACAATGCAAAACGTATGTACAAAAATGCATATGTAGGAGAATAAGTCTTTCTGTTACGAACAGAAAGCAAACCGCACATTTCAAAGTCAAACGAGTTTCATAAATTTCTTAACAATTTTTGTCGGTTCCAGTTACAATCGGTTTAATTTTTGATGCATGTAGAAATATTAGATTTTAGGAGTAATGCAATAATAATAATATTTGCGGATTTATTATATTTTATATAAGTTTAATTTAAACAAAACAATCTGAAATGGGTCTAACTGACAGGGACAGCTAACTCCTTCTTTAATTCCCTTCAAGCACAGACACATCAGCCTAAACCGGGAACATTTGTGTCACGTGCAAGAGCACAATTCCCACTCATCTCTGCTATTCGCCGACATAAAATTGTAGTAAAATTGTAGATGAGACTGCAACTTTGCTATTAAAATCTTAGCCCAGTTTTCTATTATCTCAAACAGCCCAAAAACAACCACAACCATTCACAGGTGTGCACGGTAGTCACAGGTGCTCGCGCGAGCTTCTGTTTGTCAAGTATCGTAATTTGTTTGCATGTTTATTCATGAAAACGCGACAGGAACTCAGACAAGACGCAGACTACGACAAGCAAATACTTACGAAAAAGAAATTCTTAAAACAGTCCAGTTAGGCACACTTTCGTACTCTTCCATTCACTATATATGGCCTACTTACTCGCACAGTTGGTTTTTAATAATTCAGCAGCAGCAGCAACATTATTAATATCTTAAGCGCCTAAAAGCAGACGACAATTCACATTGTCGACACCAACAAAACACCCTTGGAAAAAAACCCACACCTTAAAATTTTAGAACGCGTCTAGAAACAAAAGTGCTTTAAGTGCTATGTCCCCGATTTTTGGGAGTTGTGGACACAAACATTGAGAAACGGCTGAGACAGTCTCGAAAGCTGTGCTTCTTCATTGGCCTTAGCAGACCGCTTAACCCCACAAGACTAGCGAAAAGAAAAAAAATATAGAGGCTAAGCTTTATTTATTATTACAGGAAGGGTGCGAAAAACTTAAGAACTTCCCACTGTAATGGCTGTTCTGCAAAGTTAATATTGTACTAAAGGAATTCTTTATGTGCGTTGTCTGCTTTACTTAAGCTCTTAACTCTTAGTTCAGCTCAAGTTTTGTATTCTTAATAATTTGTGGTTATTATATTATTTTGATATTAATTACACTAATATACTTTATGCAAAATTCAAGTATTTGCAATTATCAATACCTAAGAAGGATACACCCTGATCAATTGCCTTATTAGATGTTTTTGCATGTGTTTACACAAAATATAAGATTTAATCAAAAACCAATTGAAATTTTACACCAAACAGCAATAACAACCAATTTAATCAAAAGATCATTTCTCCATTTTTCCATTTTTATTTTACACAAATTAAATAATTCGATGCATAAGGCAACAACAAGTTGCAAAACAAAAAATAGCTAAAACATGAAACAAAGCTCATTCTCGCTTTAGGTTCAACTTCCTTTCATATCTTTGCATCAACAGACGCAGCAATTTAAAAGTAATTTTCTCTCCCCTAGCGCTTTTATTGAGCTCCCTTGGTGATCAATTAACTTTAGAGAGGCAAACTCTGATAATGAAAGTTGAATATTTAACATTTGTTATTTATCAGTAAATTCAAAAAAAAAAAAACACGATTTAATTTTAATTGCATGTCAGCTATAGGCATCCATATACAAGACTTATTAAAATTTTTGTATTTTTTGCATCTCCTGATTATTAAATTAAAAACATTGAAAGAAGAAGTGGATTCAAAATTGTGAGAAAATTGTTTTTATGTATTCTTCCCCAGAAGCAGATAGAAGAACTGATATCGATAGCAACCCATCTACCGAGCCACACAATAACCAGCCAAACGATTCCAAACGATTCCCCACCACCACCTGCACTCTGTGTGTTTGCCTATGAGATGTGTGTGTGATTGTGTGTCTGTCTGGCAGTCGAGGTAGTCAGGCCAGAGCCTGGGGTACGCTCGCACGAACGAAATAATCCAATATACATATTGTATTGTGCGATAATACGCCACACGGGTGCAGCTATCAGAAACCATGGTGAGTTTTTCCATACTTTCTTCCTTTTTTTATTCAATACATTTTCGCTCTTGTAGTGTTTACCTTGGTTGCTTTGTTGCCACTACTATGTATGTATATGTTTGTAGTTGTATCTAGGCATTTCGTTCGCGTACTCTACTCGAGTGCGTTCATTTAAATTTTTTGCAATTTTTAGGCAGTTTTATGCATGGCAAAACAAAACGAACTCACAAACTCGCCCGTATACAAATTCAAATTCAACGAAAATCATTTCAATTTTCAGATACTGCGCCAAGAATTTGCATATATATATACATATATATATATATATATATATATGTCTGTTTGTGTGTGTCTGTATTTTTTTCTCCCCCACCGAATGAATGTGCAAATCAATTGCAAAGTTAAAACTCAAACAAAAATTTCATTAAGATAAAACGCGTGGGGTTTCCATGAAGTCCTGCATAAAATAAAAGCTGAAGGCTGTCGGCTGCTTTAATGAAGAGGCAAAATACATATCTTAGCTTAGATTTTTACTGGTTTTGAGTATTTATTATCACAACAATGAATTAGAGCATTTATAAAACTTAAATAAATATTAATTGCAACACTCAAAAAAGCCAACTTTGTCCAAAACACTGCTAAACGAACGTTGGTCGAAATGTTTTTTGTAATCGAAACTGAACCTATATTTAAGTATTAAACGACTTACTGTATACTATATAAAACGAAATGTTTCTAAATAGTACCTAAATTATCATACTAGTGTAGGAAACATATAACTTTTGAAATAATGAAGGGAACGTTGAATTTTAATTTAAAAAAAGGCTCAATTCCGCTTGTATTTTTTGGGCAAAGTATTTCTTAGAGTGTACAGATTGAAATGCCATTAAATTATATAGTTAACTGTTCCCCCACGTGTATATTTGCTTTGTGATATTCCACATATGCATGTTTTGGTATTTCATTTGTTTACCAATATTGTCAATCTCTGCTATATCAAATAAAATTTTATTTTGATTGTAAGTAGCAGTCGGGCGCAGGGCCAAGAATAATCCCGCTCTCCCTCTCCTTCTCTGATTGGTTTGGGCATCTCATGGATTTTGTGGTCCATAACTGTTGGCCGCTTTGAGTGTTGCCAACTGCTGGTTACAAGTGGGCAAGTGTCCAAGATTCTCGACGCTAATGTTCCCGTCCGGACCTTTTCGTGTTTAGCAAATGTGCCAGCCCCCTCAATTTGTGCCTCTTGCTGCTGTTTATTTTTATGTGACAATGCAAAGTAAGTGCACTTGAGCTGTACTCCCGGGCCTACAATCAGCTGGCAGCTGCTCAGTGCGCGATAATTAACATTTGTTACGCAGGTCAACAACTAAACACACACACACACACAGAGGCACTACACACATGGGCGTAGTCAGCAGGGAACTTGGCTGGCAATGAAAATTTGAAGGCATCCTAATTAATTTGACATTATGCTTAACTTGTACATTTAAATCCATTTCATTAATATACGAGTATACATAGTTTATGAATAAAAATGAAAATGATATTCAAGATGACCAAAAACTTTATTTAAGGCTCGAGTTTTTCTTGAATATACTTTTTAAGTAAAATTTCTGCTGATCTGTTGACAAGAATATAATTTTCTTGAGTTGGTTATTTTCCACTCTGTATATAAAAACATTTATATAACAAATAATTTGTTGAGCTTCAACTTTTACTTGATTATTTTGCAGACATATAGGATGTGTAATAAGTATTTATCTCAGAGAAATTTCGCCAGCTGAGATCCTGGCTGCGCCCATGACAAGAACACTACAATTATACCACACCACTCACACAATCTATACAACATAAATGCGTGTGCAAATAGAGAACTGTATAAAAATCAGTGAGCTTTAAAATTGGCACGGCCTTTCGCTCAATTACGGCAGTATGAGGAGCTCCATGGGCTGATGCTGATGTTGCTGCTGCTGCTCCTGCTCCTGATGCTGATGCTGCCGTTGCTGAGTTGCCTTTGCACGGCCATTAGCCCGGGTCTGGGTCTGGGTCTGGGTCTGAGTGTGAGTCCGGGTGCTGGATTGCGAGTGGGATTGGGTATGGGTATGGGTATGGCTGAGTTCCGACTTCTGTTCTGCTTTGTATGCATGCCATAATTGTTTGGCTAGGAAAAATAGCAGCTCGCAGATGCCAATCAATGAGAAGCCAGCTATGATGCTGCAGATGTTGCCAATTGTACCTGGAAATGAAGTAGCAGTCGCATTCAAATACAGTCATTTGTATATGTATGTGCAAAAAGAGGAGTGTAATATGCAGTAGGACTCACTGAAGATCTCATACCAGGCGTTTTTAATAATCTGGCGAAAGTATTGAATATGCGTTTCGGCAAAGTAAATACGCACAACTGCCAACTCGGAACTGTCATGGCCATAACTGTTATGGCCAACGCCAACGCCAACGCCACTGCTGCTGTTGCCGTTGCTGTTGCTGTTCCTGCAAAATTAAACTCATTTATGTATAGCAAACGTAACTTATCCCTCAGATGGGTGGAAAGAGCCAAACAAAAATAGTGACTTCCAATGAGAGAACTTGTGCAATAAAAACTAAAGAAAGTTAGCAATTCGGCATCTATAAAATTTAATATGTAAATGTTTTAATGGAGCTTCAACTTTATGTTGAATCATTTTGCGTAATGTGTACGCTTTAATTGGTCTTTAACTTTAAGATCTATGTGGATTTTTGGCAATGATTTTGTGCAATATGTAAAAGTTGACAATAAGTTTTCTCGACTTCAATCTCTAATCAAAACTTAACACATCGCCTTCGATCTGTTATCTAAAGTTGTTCCGTATTCAAATTTCATAGAAAAGCGATATTTTATTATGATTGAACATCTTAACTGTTATTTTCCGCAAGACCAAAAATAAATTCTGCTTACGTCATTGGTTTGTATAAGCCATTGATGGGGAGTGTCATTGCGCCACGGACCTGATACCGTATCTCCGTACAGGAGGGCAGACAGTTGGGACAGTAGAGAGCATCCTGCAGCTCATGCTCCAGACCGGGCACATATTCGCGACTGGTGATGACATTCAGCCATTTAACTGAAATAATTTCAAAGAGGTCGTCACACAGACAGAGAGATTAAGGTGTCCCCCCGAGTTACTACAGTCTACTCACATTTATAGCGCCTGATGCACTCCATGTGCTGGAGCGTGCAGTAGACAGATCTCTCACGTTGTGTAATAAAACGATGGGGCATTTGAAAGGGAAGGCATCCGCATAGGTTGTAGATGCTACGGGCACGGCAGGCGGAGATGCATTTGCTGTGGGTATAGTGATTGGTGAAGTTGTACGGCATCTCATCCCAGAAGCGACATTTGCGCTATGGAAACATTAATTGATTTACTGATTAGTCAATGATTGACAGGAGGGCATGATTGATGCTGACACGCACCACAGTGGGACTCATGTGACGAGCTTCGTGCACCGTCTCCAATATTTTGGGTCATATTGGGAGAAGTGTATTTTGGCCAGCCAGCGCGAAGCGTATAGTTACGCTACCTGATTGCGGGTCCGGATAGTTGGTTGGCTCATAGATGAAAATCTACGATAAAAATCGTGACAGTTCAGATGTACAAATATCCAACTACAGATGTTAATAACAGGTGGAAATGTGATTCGGTATTAAGTCATGGAAAATTAAAAATGTTTATATACCGAAAATCCATCTTGTTCATGCATTTTATAAAAGTTATCGCTAGTTGTGGCGTTCAGTGTTAGCACCAGACCCATATCGGCACCAAAAAAACGCTTATAATATGTGTAGTCTTTGAGGAAGCTTAAAAATGGAAGATCTCATATATCACAAGTCAATAACAGCTCTTCTGATTGTCTTACTCTCCTTTGGGATTGAGGGTGCAACAATAGCCATAACTGGTCAGCATTTTCACAAACACTTTTTCGCAATTGAAATAATGTGCTGCAAACCGGCAGGATAGAAGGATATCGCTACATTTTGGAGTCAGGTCACGTAAGCGTTCCCTGGTATTGTAGAATAGCTCATCGGACTTGGTATCCAACACATCCAAGAAGCCCTGCAAGCGCAGAAACCGCTCATAATCGCCAAAATCCCAGAGGGTATAAAACATGCCAAAGGCCTGAAGCTCATCGTAAAAATAAGTAGCATTACGCAACCTGGGATCCTTTAGGCTGCTGCAAGGAAGAGGCTAAACTGGTAAGGGAATTATGGCATATAATGGCATGCAAAAGTATGCAGAAATATTATTTCTAACTTATAATTATATGCTTTTATCTTTTTATTTTATCTTTTTGGTTTTCAATCAAGCTTTTGTAGTTGGATACATATTTTTGTAAGTGTACTTACAGTTCATGTGCGTATCGCCAGACAGCCCGCTTGGATATTCGATTGTTGCTGCAGACGGAGATGGCTGGCAGGGCGACATGGCAAACGGGATACGATGGATTGTATATGGTGGTCACCAGCTCCTCCGCGGCATGCTTGTACGTGCCCCACACGAATGCAATTAGAAAGCCCAGCGCAGTTATGTGGCAAATCAGCCAAACGAATCTATGGACAGAGACAGCTAATTGAAAGGACTCCAGCTCGCGATTGTGCGGAAGTCCCGGGATTGGGATTGCGGTTATAGGCCTCAGCTTACCGCTCTTGCATGCGACGACCGTGCTCGACTAATTTGCCATAACAATGGAATGACAGGTTCTCCAGCAAATCCTTAAGCGCAGCGGCAAATGACAATTTTTGCTCAGCCACTTCCTCATCGCGAATGGCATTTGGATTACCGTTTGGTGTGGGTATCCACCAAGCGGCGTGTCCAACCACCAAACGTTGGAGCCGCTGTCGTCCTACCCGTTCTGCAATTGATGCCATGGTTTGGAACTCACTCAGCCGTTTGTGGATTGCAACTGTTGCGGCTGTCTGCGCACTACGCGACTTTTTATTCAGCCGGCCGCCAAACAATTCTCCGTGTCCTGCACTCGAAAAAATATGAGCTGCAAATCCAAACATCATAGTCATAGGTTGTGAACCAATCTGCGATCGTTGCTTTGTCATAATAATTGTATTTATAATTGATTGTATTGAATATTCTATCTGGTATATCTGATTAATTGTTCTTATTTTATCTATTACCAATGCCAGTCACATTTTTTCTAAATGTGAATATTTGTATACAATTTAGTCTTTTTAGTCTTTTTTAAGTGTTTCGTATTTATTTCCTAAAAACAATTATTATGCCTTGCAGCTTAAAAAACTTGATCTAGATGCCAACACATTTGTAATTTGATATATGTCATGCTTTACAAATTATTTGAATTTATTTTACATTTTTTCCGATTTACGCGTGTTTTGCGTATAAATATTGCGCGCCCCAAGGGCATCCCATTTTTTTACGTGTAACATTGTTAATGATTTGGGAGAGTTGGAGTCGCTGGTTGCTCATTTTAATGAAAATTTTGCAGTCATGTCGTGCGTGTTGTTGTAATTAGGCCTCGTGTTCCAACTTATTGCCAACAAATTAACTGCGACATGGCACGTGGTGTTTGCAGCAATCGTCCTCGTGCTACTCCTCTTCTGTCGCTGCTTATTTAGCCTGGCTCTCGATTCGTCTTGGCAATTTCCCTTAATTGTCAACAATTTAAAATGAAATTAGTTAAGCGCGCATTAAATGTCAGCCAACGGGAACAGCAGCAACATCATCATCATCAGCGACATCATAATCAGCATTAGCAGCGACAACAGGAGCAGTGGGTCATGTCATTTTTGTACGGCAGCTTAAGCTGTGCTCTCCCAATCAAAATACACAACAACAAAAAAGAAAAGCGCCCTGGGTGAATTAATACGGGGGAGGCAATATTTAGCAACTGTTGATTGTGAATAAAGATATAAGTATTTTTTATTTTCTGAATTTCTTTACATGACAATTTCTTAATCAAATAATCTTAATCATTTTAAGTTTCATAATATTTCTTAAATTGTGAGACGCACTCGTCTTTATTTTGATCAAAATCGACATACATTTGTAAATGAATCAATAAAATGCTGATGCTAAGTCGAAATTATATGTTTGTGGCTTCTGAAATTGATTGATTGACTCGACTCGACTAATTGATGCTCATTAAAAATATTGATACTAATTTTGGTTGGGTGTACGATAAGAAATGAGACGTTACAGACAAAATAAGCTCAATTTAAAATTAAAGGCGCATCCAACTTCAATACACACAACGTCTGCGTCCCACATATCGATAATTCAAACAATCGAAAAATCGCTCAAGCTCTTAACTAACTATTGGCTTCGGCGCAGCCAACTTCATGTAATTCAACTGCGCTGAAAACCCAATTGCAAATATCGAGTAATTTGAAAAAATGAGCGACGTGAGTATTTTTTATAGTAAATTGAAAATAACATTTTATTAAATGCAATAACATTGTTTTGTAGGATCACCCAAGCGAATTGGCGTTCGAGGCTTTCATACGTATTTACTACGAGCACTTTGACTTTCAGCGTTTTGTTAGTAGCCACAACGTGCAAATTTTGTAAACAATGAGACTAAACCAAATTGTTTTTGCAGTGTTTCGCTAATCTGTATCATAAGATGGCGACCCTTAACTTTGGCAGTGAACCGATACATGGATCTGACGAAATTCAACACCAGATTATGCAGATGCCACGGACGCTTCATCGCTTAACAGCAGTCATCTGTGAGTCTATATCCTTACAGGAATATACGCACAAGAAGCTATATCATTGCAAGATATCCGGTAGAGTATTATTTTATAATGAGGAGCGGAACTTTAAGCAGAATTTCGTAATCTTAATTGGCAATGATAAATGGAAAATAATATTAGATTCTTATAGCCTCGAGCAGGTGTACAAACAATCGGAATAAAGTATTTATAAAAAATGTATGCAAATAAAAAAATGTGAGTAACGAACAGGCATTTATATAATATATATTTTGTGACATACTTCTACAAATAGTTACAATTACAACATTTGATATTCCATCCAATATTCGAATTCCATCGTTTTCTTTTTTTTTTTTTTGATTTTATGGACATATATGTAACTTACGTGCATCCAACTTTTTAGCTTTCTGATTAGCTTTGCTGATATGCATGATTCGATAGAAACTCATATAGATGTACTTGCAGAAAAAGAAGAGTGTCTCGAAAATGGCCACCAATGAAAATCCCATAAAGACTGATAAAATATTTCCGATCGTGCCTGAAAAACACAATAAATTCATAACAATTAAATGAGTTCAAAGAGCTCCAAGACAAAATTTAAATTTGGTAATGTTAAAATCATAGCTTCAATGAGCCAGTCAGCAAACCGAACTCAACCGAAACTTAGTTATAAAAAGTAAGATGTTTTCATCAAATATCAGTTCACTTACTGAATATCTCAAACCACTCATTGTTCATCAATCGAATATAAAAATCGGCATTTGGCTTGCCAAAGAAAACTCTTAATATGGATATTTTAGAGCTCAATTGGGTTGAATTATCCTCAGGCTTTAGTGATGCCAGAAAGTTGTCCAGGGGTAAAGCGGATAAGGACACACGGTACTGCACATCATAGCATGAGGGTAGACACTGTGGGCAATACAGTGCCTCCTCGATTTCACGCTCCAGACCCGTCATCCGAACCCGCTCAGTTAGCACATTATTCCACTTGACTAAAACCAAAGGTTGGCAACAAAGATATGCTTGGAAAGCGGATCTGATGACTCACATGCGTACTGAGCGATACACGTGGCATGGATGAGAGTGCAATAAACGACGCCTTCCAAACTCTCAACTAAATCCAAAGGCAGTTGAAAGGGCAGACAATTACACAAGGCAATAATACTGCGTATGCGACATCTGGTAATACAATTGGGAAATGAATAAACCGTTCCCACATTCGGCAAATTTGCCTCATCCGGGAAATAGCATCGGCGCTGGCAAAAAAAGTACAAAACAAAACTTATTTTAATATAATGTTATATAATAACGAATAATTTTATGTACAATCTAATTATGATACTTTACATATATTATTTTAAAAACTCGTCCAAGGTTTTGTAACTTGTTATCGTTCTATTTAAGAAAAGAAAAACTTGATATGATGTGTGGATGTATTCATTCAGTATTTGGTTGCATAACCCTCCCCATTAAAAATAACCGTCAAATAGCGATGGTGCATAGGGTTCACAAAAGAATTAAAAAATAAATCATAATAATAATATTATTATTACTTACACCTTCTGGTGAAAAGGAGCTCAAACTAGGATCGGTATCGATGACACGTGCAAAGATCCTCACATAACTCTCATCCATTTCTCCTGGAAACAATTCCAAGGCATTCGACGAAGATATCGCTGCAAAATTATCGGCATTATGTATAATGACAATATAACCTTCTGTTCTCAAAACTGGCGTAAAATAATCGGCATGACTCGCGTTGAGGAACACTGTAAGGCCCAGTTCTGGGTTGGCAAACCGATTCTTATAATCGCGGCTCTTAAGTCTATAAAACAAATTGTCAAATCTAATGTAATTAAATCTATATAAATACAATATAAATTTCAATATTACCTGTTCTTTGTATTAAAAGTGCAACAGGGTCCATAGTCAGTCAGTCTACTCTGAAAACCTATATCGCTAAAACAAGGTATATCCACGTTAGACAAACTACATTTCAATATAAATTCATCGCACTTAGGCGCCAGCTGCAAAGAATATTTAATATACTGGTTAAAGAGTTACTCAGTGGAGTATTAGAATTCTAGAATTCGATGAAATCTATAACTCACCATATTCATAATACGTCGTGTGCTGAAGAAAGTTTCGTTGTCCCAGGTGCCGAATATGTCCAGAAATGCTTGAAAGTTAACCAAATCCTCGGCATCGACGTCCATTTCATTAGACACGTACAATTTGCGTAGATACCTCAGTTTGTCCAAGTAGTACTTTAAACTATGTGGTACAGGATCACTATGCTGGCTGCTCGAGGATAAGATTGCCTGTTAATATCTTAAAAGGATAGCGGGATATAAGGATATAAGGCTACTCACAGCTCGAGGGCATATTTGGTGACTGCCTGCAGGGAGATGCGATTGTTGGAGCATATTGACACAGCAGGAAATGGCACTTTTTCAACAGGATAAAGCGAATCCTTCAGATTGATGACAAAGTATTGTGCGATAAATTGCTCCCAGGTGAGCAAAAGCACCGACAGCATTGCCACGAACGTGGTCGCGTGCACCAGCAGCCAAATTAATCTGCAAATAAACGAAGAGCCCTCAACGAATAAGAGATGCATTGAGAACGCGCGACAACACTCAAAAAAATAAAACCAACAAATTTTGAGATATTTGTACTCAATTCAAGTGCACTCAAATAATTCTCGATTAGAAAGTTTTTTTCTGTAATCCAGAAATACCTAAACTTACGACTCTTTTGCAAACGGTTGGGTTGCTTAATTTTGGCGTGCTTAAAATCTGTGCAGGTATTGTTTAGGTCAAAAACTAACTAACTATGAAATGTTAATGACTTATTATTATTTACGAATATTAACTTAAATTTGAACAACAGAACCATGGAAATTGTATGCAGCTTGTACTCGAGAGCGATTTTCTCTCAGTGCTTAAGCATATGTATGCGCTTTGAGGTAAAAGCGGAAACAGGAAATGAAAAATTGTGGAAAAATGCAATGAGATGAGTTGAGACAAGGATGACGACGACGACGATGACAAACGGCAAGCAAAGACAAAAGCTGCAACTGTAAATTTTCTATAGGGTTCCCCCTCGATGCGTATGAGTAACGTAACGTAACGTAAGGCAAGGTAAAGTAACATCAGTGCGACAAAACCAGCCTTGTTATTCCCTTGGAATTTATTTATATTTATATATATATCTGTCTTTATAGCATATATGTTCTTGATCAGCATAAAAATGGAAATTTGTTCTTTCTGTTCGTCTCTTTGGATAGATTATGTTCAGCGAGGGTATGCCAGCTATCTTCTTCTGTCATCTAGCTCTGCTTACCTCTCCACAAATGTCAATTCCGGTGCCAATAGTTTGTTGTAGCCCTGCAAGGATATATTGCGCAGTAATGCAGCCATATCCAGACAAAAGATCGACCCAATCGATGACTTGCGACCATCGCCCCTGCCTGCTCCGCGCACACCCCCATGACTGGCGTCGCCCACTTTTGGTGCGTTGGGATTTTTAATCCACCAGATGGCATTGGAAGTTGTTTCAATATTAACCATTGAAGCGCACAATTTTAACGATGATGGCCCACGTAATAGTCACGACCTGTCCTTGTCCTTGTTGTCTGTCAACTGAGCGTCTTTGTCAAGCAATTGATAATCTTAACTGCAAGTCGAATGGGTGTGGCCAGACGCCTTAATGCATGTTTGTCATTAAGGTTTGTTTTAATTGCTGCTGGCAACCAAGAAACTTTTGTTATAATTATAGACAAAAAATGCAGCATACTCTTATGCTGCAAATTAGGTGCTCGCGTTGCCAACTACTTGTGCCAAGTTTAGTGAAACAACGCAAGAACTCGGCACTCTAATGGTATCTATTAAGAGTAGAGACAGAGAGAGTATCAAATAAACATGTACTTTGTAATATTAAATATTAAATCACTAAATATAAAATTAAATACATATGAAACAACGAGCTTGCTACCATTCGTACATTGAAACTATATCTAACAATGAATCGAAAATGTGTTTCGTGTATATCTGAAAAGTGTTGCATACTTTTGTGTGAATTAAATAAATTAATTAATTGGCCGCTCATTTCAAATATATAATATTTTTCAATATTTCAATTGTGTATATCAAATATAATAACTAAATCAATGCAATTGAGTATCTCAAATAGAACTAAGTTCCAAACCTTTTCTTTTACTTAAATTAAATTAACACAAACATTTTCATATATATCAAGTTATTTATTACATAAATTATATGAATAAAAGCAGCCAGTTTTTTCAATTCATTTGGTTTTCCTTAAAGCTACGCACGTTAAGTTTAGCACACTTTATATATTCGATTGCATAAATTAAATGAATTATAGATGAGTGAATTGATTTCCTTAAAAGTAAAAATGCAGATATAAATTAAGATTGTATCTCTATCGGCCTGCTGGCCAAAACGGTTGTCCCGGATAGTTGCGACTGCCCACAAAGGCATATTGATTGGGATTCACAACACGAGCTATATCCGTATAGCTGCGACCATTACGCTCTGGCCGATATCCATATGCAGGCGAGGCCCGGGAGTCCACCGCAAACAGGCAAAGGCAGGCGAGTAGAGCGATTAGTAGGAGGGGTTTCCCTTGCATTCTGCTTCTAGAGATTCTTGGCTGAGAACTGCGCCTCAGTGCCGATGAGTAGAAGCCTTTTATATGTTCTTGTCCAGAAGATTATTGACATTCAGTTCAGTCAGGTTTTCGTCTGACAGCAACAACAATGAGTACAGTTTTAGAGCCACACATTGCATGCTTTGCACGTAGCCCGCTTGTCAAGTTCTTTTACTCTCTGCGAATCTTCAGCTGTTTCATCTGAAAATGTCATTCACACTGAATATCTGTTGATCACGTTTGACTCACTGCCCATTACTTCAATATGTATTTTTCCGCGAAGCGATCTCGGCTTTCAACACTCACCATTAATAGCAATGTGAGTGATTTGTCCAAAATAAGTCTGACTATTTAAAAACTAATTAGCAGTTAATACTTAAATAAAGGAAGGGTGTGTCTATTTGAGGTTTATGTGGCTGTCAAATTGGCAGAAATATGTGTTTGTCAAATTGCATAAGCTATTCATCATGAGATTTCATACGTACATACATATGTGTGTATGTATATTATGAGAATAGTGAATTTGTTTAATGTTCTATAATAACAATTTAATTGTGAACCAAAGGTATTCCCCTAAGTGAGTGTACTAAAGCTGCATACAACATTGAAAAATTCATGAGTCATGGGTACTCATACTAATCATACTTATATATTTTCATGTTCGCAAAAACCTGTAAATATCATCGATTTGCACCATTTAAAAGGCAATTTCGTCAATGTTTTAAAAAAAAGTTGAAATTCACATCAAGCCAGTAAAAATTATTTACATGTGAGTTCATAACTAAAAGATGCCCTATAGTCATGTCAGTCTTAAAAAAAAACAATTGAATTAAGAAAAAATATTTCATAATATCAAGAAGCACATGCAGTAAAACTTATTGAACTTCCAAAAATCTGTTTACTGCACAATTTTCTTTATATTACCATAAGTTGTATAAAATTTAAAATTTGTTTTTAACTTAATATTTATTTAAGGCACAATATTAAACTAATCAAGGATTAAAATTGATATGAAATTCCTCTCTATCGTCCCGTTGGCCAAAAAGGTTGTCCTGGATAGTTTCTAGAGCCAACTGCAGAGTAGGGATTGGGATTCACGACACGTGCAATATCCGTGTATGATTTTTGAGGAAACCCATCAGCCATTGAAAACAGCACAAGGCAGATCAATAAAGTGATTAGAAAAACTTTTCCTTGCAACGGAGACATCATTGTTATGTTGTTTGTGAAGTGGAACTGTGCTTGAATGCAACTAGACTTAAGCCTTTTATATGATTATGGCCAAGTAATTGGCCAGAAGAATCGTAGAATGCAGTTTCCTGCTTATCGATCAGGTTTATAATTCAATAATATAATATAAACAAATAAGAAATAAGCATATTGTGGAAATGGTTGTAGAAAGTGTCAGCTTCTCCATTTACAGCTTCCGACGTAGATCTTAAGCTCAGCTATGAAAACAACAACAAACACGTTTTAGCTTGAGCATTGTGAATGATCTGGAACCCAAGCATAGCTCTGGCAATTACACAGCAAAACAACAGCAGCAAAATAACTACAATATGTGACTAACTAATGACGTAGGTGCGCCAGTTTAAATTAATGCCGCAGATTGCCTAGACAAACGAATATACATATATTATGGGAATAGCTAGATGTTATTTATTTATTTATTTTTATTTTTTTTTTATATATTTTTGTATGTTCTTTATTGTTTTTGTTTTCCGTAATGTCAAGTTTTTTGATAGCTTGGGAAACTCCTAGTTGAGTGTGCGCCTAAGTTGCATATTTTGGGAAATAGAATAATTACTGCTAATTGACTCATTTGAACTTGATTTATTTTGCTCAAAGTCAGACTAAATCAATCTAAATCAACTCTCTTTTTTAAACTTACGACCAACAATGTGATGCGTGATTAACACTAGAAAATATGTTGTGGATTTTACGGCGTGTTATTGCTGCATAATGAATCAATCCGATATGCGTCTTAGCTTGGCCAGAAGTTGTTTATTCAAAAGAGTAATAATTTCAGATCGTGCTTTTCTTACTAAAAGCCTTCATTTTGCCCGGGTGTTCGTAATGTCTAAGACTAAAGACTCATATTATATGTGTTTACCTTATTATGAGTCTCATCGAAATAGGTTATCTCTGTGGTACAATTTTCTTATTTCAAGCGTTGAATTGTTCATAGATAATCATAGATAATTAACTCCATCTGAGGAATGATCATAGACAATTTAACTTAAACTCAGTAGATTTTCAATTAGCTGAAACAGTTTATTTTTTCCTGTGATCATTGCAATCATAGTTACTTATAATTAGGTAGATATACATATTAAATTACACATTTTTTCGAAATGAGTTTTATCATAAATAAACTTGTAAAATTGCACTTTCAACAAAAAAGGATCTTTTTATAGCAGTCAAAATTAAATAACACTTTTCTGTCTAAGTACGCATATTCCAAAGCGTATAATAAAATACAACTTTTGGCATTAAAATTTCTTTCACTTCTGCTCTTTGAAGCGTGATTCGCGTGACAGTTACGTGACACTCCCAACTCTATATACATATATAGACGATCTAGTCACAGTTCAGTCACGTAGCATTTTCAACTACACGCGTCTAAAATTTATTTAAATATAATTGTTCAGACAAGCCACGTTAATCTGATTGTAAATTTTAAATTTAGCCACAATTAAAAATAGCAGAAAAATTAAACTTGAATTATTTTTAACTTAACTTTCACTGTTTTTATTTTTGGTAAATACCTGATGTAACTTACAGTTTAATATTTACATTAATATAATTTTAGCCCCACAGATGTGAGTAGGGAGCACGGGGTAGATAACGACCTGCACCCAGACCTAGATAGGGATCTGCGCGCCCGACTCTAGCTATTTCGGAGTAAGTGCGTCCTTTGCGCGCGGGCCGATGATAACGGGGTCTGTAGGACTGTTGTGCATAGCCATAGCCACCATAACCGCCATAGCCTCCATAACCTCCATAACCTCCATAACCACCATTGTAGCCATAGTTGGACGCATAGCCGCCTCCATAGCCAGAGCTGTAACCTCCGTAGCCACCTCCATATCCAGAGCTGAAACCGCCATAGCTACGACCTCCTCCTTTTAGTGCCTTAAGTGCCTTGAAGAACAATGCTTGACTCAAGTCAAGGCAGCTGCCCAGCAGCAAGGTGAGCAACATCAAAATAGGAACTCTCATGTCTCTGATTCGGATCGTATTGCGTTCTGGCCACACATCTACGAAGTTCTCCTCTATTTATACCCTCCGAGCTAAGGATGACAAATTTTATGCTCTTAATAGTTTTATTTAAACACCTGAATCGCTTGAGATCTGCTACCATAATGCTAATGCCTGAATACATCCCAAAACCATTAAATACATTACTGCGAATAACCTAAAGTTTAACAGGCGGAGACACAACATCAACATAATCAGCATGCCGAGCACGTCCGATTGGGAAGAAAACGCCATCTAAGCGGATCCATGAGTCGTCTTTGAGTCTTTGTCGTCTCCGTTGCCAGTCATCCAATAGCCAACGGTCAACGGCAGCAGTAGCCACAATCAGATCTCCTCTCTTCTATTTTTTTTTTATAATCTTGCCGAGTCTTCTGACTTTGTGGTGAATTTTGTATCGTAATAATACATCAATCCGATATTGTCAAAGTGGGGGAAGGATCTCTGCAATCGAAATCTATACATACTCGCTTGAAAATTACAAAATATTCAAAATGTTTTCTCATATAAATATTTATTTAAAGCATAATATTAAACTAATCAATGACTAAAATTGAGATGCAATTCCTCTCTATCGTCCCGTTGGCCAAAAAGGTTGTCCTGGATAGTTTCTAGAGCCAACTGCAGAGTAGGGATTGGGATTCACGACACGTGCAATATCCGTGTATGATTTTTGAGGAAAGCCATCAGCCATTGATAACAGCACAAGGCAGATCAATAAAGTGATTAGAAAAACTTTTCCTTGCAACGGAGACATCATTGTTATGTTGTTTGTGAAGTGGAACTGTGCTTGAATGCAACTAGACATAAGCCTTTTATATGATTATAGCCAAGTAATTGGCCAGAAGAATCTTAGAATGCAGTTTCCTGCTTATCGATCAGGTTTTAGTGTAAAAACAATAAGCAACGAGCATATTATGAAAATGCGTGTAGAAACTATATGCGATAAATTCAAAAGCCAACTTTTCCATTTACAGCTTATGACGTAGATTTTAAGTTATGCTATGAGAAAAACAACAATCACGTTTTAGCTTGCAATACTCAACTGTGCATTATGAATGATCTGGAACCCAAGCATAGCTGTGGCAATTAAAACTGAAAAACAACAGCAGCTAAGTAGCTAATATGTAATATGTGACTAACTAATGACGTAGGTGCGCCAATTTTAATTAATGTCATAAGTTTTAATTAATTGCATAAGCAAACGCAATAACATATATTATGAGAATAGCAAGATTTTTTTTCCTTTTTGTGTTTGTTCTTTTTTTTTTTTGTTTTCTGTATTGTCTACGATGTTCTTAGCATGGGGAACTCCAAGTACTTTTTATTAAAACTCAGAATAAGGTTTTCTATACTCTAATTTTGAATATACTTGATTTAAATTTAGAAAAAAAAAACCCCCAATTTTTAATGAAACACTTATTGTGTGTTTTGTAATTAAATTTGCGAACAAAACAATTAAGAATGCTCTACTCGCGGCAGTTTGACTATAAGATACTCTGAACCCATATTTTAAATTAATTCATGTTCTAAAAATGTGAGGAAAAATTATAATGAGGTTCTGCAAAAAGATGTATGCGATCAGACACAGTGTTAAAATGGAGATGGAGATGGGCTAGGAAATTCATCAATTCGATAATTCCAAATCGTGCTACGAGCACATTAATGTCTCCCACTATTTTAATATTAAGTATAAAATGAGAATTTTCTCATTTTATGTTAATCAAGCGATTGAATAAATAAATTTGAATTTGAATGTTCATTCAAATCGAAACCTGGAATCAGAATCACTTTAACCGATTGAAATTTAGAATCGAAATCGAAATTTTCAAAATTTCCCTAAGTCCCATATCCCAGCGAAACACATATTATTTGTCCCGAAAATATTGTATCGTAACCAAAATATCGTAGCTCAACAAAATACAAGGGTAAGTAATCTTCGGTGTGCCTAAGATAACCGTGCTTTCTGGTTATATTTTTATTATTATTATTATTTTGCTTCTTTGTCAATTTCAATTTTGTTTACATGCTTTGATGGTCCGTTAGAAGCGGATTGAGAGAAAGCGAGAGAACGTGTGAGAGAGAGAGAGAGAGAGAGAGAGAGAGAGAGGGAGAGAAAGAGAGAGGGCAAATCTAGTTTGTTGCTCTCACAATCGCTCATCAATGCTCTCAGCAATGATTAGCACAAATCACAAGTCTCAATCCATAAGCGTTAAACAGACAAACAAAACCGAGGACAGGTTTTGAATATATAATCTGAACGTTAGCCATCGGGCTCTTATCGACAATACAAATATACAAAAATAAAATTTTCCCCTCAGTCAGTGTTCGTTGTTCTTAGCGCATGGGCGCTGTTTTGTCAATATCAAAGCGATCATGACGCGAACACAACTACAAGTGCCAATGGCATTGACAAAGTGCCTATTGCTTTTAATTTTATTCTGTTCCCGCACGTCTTACGCACAATTCGCAACTGCAACCTCATCGGCATCCTCGGGCGATTACGACGACTTCGGTGGCTGGCAGCAACAGCAAAATGGTGGCGGGGTTGGCTGGCAAACTAACGGCATAAGCGGAGCTAGACCTGGCATGAGACCACAGCAACCAATGCCTTGGAATGGTGGCGGCGACGGTGGTTGGACTGAAGGTGGCGGCGGTGGATGGAATGGAGGTGGAGGTGGATTCGGTGGTTGGAATGGAGGTGGCGGCGGTGGTTGGAATGGAGGCGGCGGTGGTTGGAATGGAGGCGGCGGCGGCAGGGGAGGTAGTCGACGCCGAACTTCTGGTTGGGGCGGTGGTAGACGAAATCATCCCAGACGGGGTGGTTGGGGAGGCGGTAGACAACCGCCACCTGGCTGGGGTGCTGGAGGACCCTGGGGAGGCAGCTCATATCCACCAGGATGGAACAATAACAATGGATCACCACCACCCGGCTGGGGAAATATGAACGGACAACAACCACCAAATGGATGGGGAAATGGAAACGGGCAACAACCACCGAATAGATGGATTGATGGAAACGGACAACAACCGGGAAATGTAAACTTTCAAGGCCCACCGGATGGATGGGGTATTGAACCTCAGCCCGGCGGGGACAATAACAATGGATCTTTCCAACCACCCCCCAGAAATGGCAATGGAAATTCTAATTCTACTGCTCCACCGCCACCCACACAACCCACCGAAAATACGCTGGTTGTTGGTAAAAATCGACCACCTCTGATCATTTCACCCACTCCGCCGCCTAAGCCCGACAATACAAACCTTCCACTAGTTGAACCTACGACTCCCAATCCCCCACAAATCGATGTGCGCATACTTTGATCGATTAGATAACTAAACATTATGTCTGTTGTATATACTATAGGTAACTTTAATAAATAACATAAATATTTATATATCATTTGCAATTTAATAAACACAAACACACAGCACAAAGCTCAATTGAATAAACTCAGAAAAAACACATTATCAGAGATTCGAACTCAAGTTTGTTTCTCGAATGTGAAAGGTTTAAGCACTTTGAAGTTATGGACTGCAAACAGGTTCGACAAGTTCAAAAAGAAATCCCCTAAGAAAGGGCGATGATACAAGAAAATATGTGAAGACATTATGCACTGCTGCAATGAAAAAAATCAACATTTTTTAGATAAGTAACAGCTCTTCTGATGATTAAAAAATTCCTCAGTTAGCCGTATATTACAAAGTTCCCAAAAGAAATACATATTTTTGATTTTATAATTCGTTTGGTTTATATTCGGTAATCGGTATAAGTGCAAAGATATATATAGTGATATGTGATATATGATTAATCTGAAAGAGTATTTAATTTTCACTGTGCCCAAAACACGTTTCTTTGTGTAGTTATTAATCTTAAGTGAATCAAAAAGTAATAAATATTTTATTAAACGACTCTAATTACGTTGCCATATTATTAAAATGAACAATCTGCGATTATTTTTCAAATCTGAATGAAATACAAATTACGTCAGTCTAAAGATTTATCTATCTATCTGATAACACTAGCACCGACACCTGACTTTCACCCCTGTTAATCCATAGGCCAGATCCGTTGTACCGATTGCACAGCATGTACAACTTTTAAGAGAACTTACAAGTTTTTACTCTGGACACCCAAGCGGATCCAATCCAAGTACAAAATATGGCTGATTAAATAATTATATATAAGTATTTCCATTTAATTTGCAATCACTCGCAACGTCAATCTGTATGAAGTAGATTTATTTATTCAAAAAAAAATATATTTTCATTTAATGCGCATTGTTTTTCTGGGAACAGGTTCGTCGAGTTCATAAATACATGAAAATAAATACAAATTAATACATGAAAAACGGCAAAGATTTTAATAAATTATGAAAAGAGAGTAATAAAGCTTATCTACTATTCATATAATCGAGTCGATAACATTTTAATCTTAATAGCCATGCTGCTTGTAGCCACCAACTCCAGCTGGATCTGATCTGCCATCTCCATAAGCTGGTCCGCTGGGTGCATAGTTTTGATGTTCATATTGACGCTCCCCATAGTAACCCTTCACTGGTCCCTGCACCGGTCTTGGATAGTAGCCACGGGCAGGAGGCGCCTGGCCATAGGGATGTCCAACAGCCCCTCCACCATTTCCATGGATATGTCCACCACCACCTCCATAGTAATAATCATAGCCATGATCGTAGCCCTCCTGTATAAGTGGTCCAGAAGGTCGTTCGGTTCCAGAAGGTCGTTCGGATCCATAATACGGAGGCGCCTGGCCATTGGAATGTCCAACAGTCCCTCCACCATTTCCATGGATATGTCCACCACCACCTCCATTGTCATAATCATAGACAGGACCGTTGACCTTCAGTATAAGTGGTCCATAATACGGAGGCGCCTGGCCATTGGGATGTTCAACAGTCGTTGTCGACGGTGGCGGCCTATGCTCATTGAGGCAATCACGAAATATGTCCAGCAACTTGTTTATCACATAGAAGGTCGGCTTGGTCTGTACACCTAGCAGGAGCGACAGCAAAATATATGAGAATCCAATGTTGAGCTGCATCTTTGTGACGATTAAATATTTATATGACAAACTCTTACTAGACTCTCGCTTATATAGCAAACGGACAACATGCTGATAATCAATACATATATATAATATATATTCCATAATAATATATAATATATTCAATATATTCAATTCATAACTACATAATGACGTTCCTAGAAAGAAGGTCAAAGTTTCTGCATGAAAATTGTGGGAATAACCCTCTGCATAAATATAGTGTATATAGAAATTCTGATATGTGAAATTGTCGACAAATGATCATAATTGAAAATGTATATTACATTATTTTACTTTCATATTTATATTAAAATCAATACAATTACTGCAATTACTTAGACAAACATTGACCATAACATATATGTATAAGTATTTCCATTTAATTTGCAATCACTCGCAGCGTCAATCTGTATGAAGATTTAATTATTCAAAAAAAAAAAAATATTTTCTTTTAACGCGCATTGTTCTTCTGGGAACAGGGTCGTCGAGTTCATAAATATATGAAAATAAATACAAATTAATACATGAAAAACGGCAAAGATTTTAATAAATTATGGAAAGAGAGTAATAAAGCTTCTCTACTATTCATATAATCGAGTCGATAACATTTTAATCTTAATAGCCATGCTGCTTGTAGCCACCAACTCTAGCTGGATCTGATCTGCCATAACCATGTCCATAAGCTGGTCCACTGGGTGCATAGTGATGATATTCATATTGAGGCTCCCCATAGTAACCCTTCACTGGTCCCTGCACCGGTCTTGGATAGTAGCCACGGGCAGGAGGCGCCTGGCCATAGGGATGTCCAACAGTCCCTCCACCATTTCCATAGCTATGTCCACCACCACCTCCATAGTAATAATCATAGCCATGATCGTAGCCCTCCTGTATAAGTGGTCCAGAAGGTCGTACGGGTTCATAATACGATGGCGGCCTGGAGTAATGGGGTCTATCATCCAGTGCGTCCAGCAACTTGTTTATCACATAGAAGGTCGGCTTGGCCTGTGCACCCAGCAGGAGCGACAGCAAAATATATGAGAATCCAATTTTGAGCTGCATCTTTGCTACGGTTTAATATTTATATGACAAATGCTTACTAGACTCTTGCTTATATAGCAAACGGACAACATGCTGATAATCAATACATATATGTAATATATATTCCATAATAAGAATATATAATGTTCAAGAATGTTGATGCTCCTAATCAGGTCACTCCGATGGTATTGAACCGACTGACAGTATCCGCGCAAAATGTTGACGTTCCTAGAAAGAAAGTCAAGGTTTCTGTATGAGAATTGTGGGAATAACACTCGGCATAAATATAGTGTATATAGAAATTCTGATATGTGAAATTGTCGACAAATTATCATAATTGAAAATGTATATTATGTTATTTTACTCTCATCGTAAATATATTAAAATCAATAGTTTTTGAATAAAAAATATCTCGTACTAAAATCTACAATTTTAATTTTTTTTTAATTCAATACAAATGAAGTGGCAATGAAATTCTTCATCATTCTGTACATGTCTCTAACATACATATGTAAAAATCATCTGCCGAATTTTCTAACGAACATTTTATGATAACTTCGCAAAAGAATATTTGAAATTTGAGGTGTGGCACAAGGAATTACCATCGCACTTTATTTTTATTATTTGAACAATTAATACATAGCCCGAAGCATAATTCGCCACTTGAGCAAAGCAAAATCCCCGCCTTTTAAAAGCTCATCTGTCATTAGCAATATTTAGCCTCTTAAATTGGTAAAGAGAGTTTCGTGTTCGGTTTTTTGCAAACATCATCTAATGATGTTTTTATTATTAACAGTTCAATGAGACAGAATCTCAGTCTAGCAATTGACATTAGCGATAACCCCAGCAGAAACAATCTAAGCTAAGCTATCTTTATATATACGAAGCGTGTGCTGTTATTGTCCAGTACCATTTTAGGCATCAACATGTGCTGGAGCATTACGCATTTAGTGCTGATATTGGCCCTGACTTTTAGCATAGCCGAGGCATCGTCGGCCTCGAACTATGCGCGCGATGAGAGCAACGAGGATACTAATACTGAATTCAATTTGGCCACCACATTCAAAGGGGGAATCACCAGCAATCGTCATCATGAACGCGCTCGTCTCAACTCACAGCTGTATCCGGATTTGAGGCAGCAACCAGCTGCAAGTTATCCATACGGTGATATTGATGGAGCTTCCGGTCATGAGAGTGGGGGCAGTGGCGTCGATCTACGTTCTGGCGCATACGCCGTGCCTGTTCCTCAGTCCGTCGATTATGCTGGACAACCAGCACAACAGTTGCCCGTAGCACCACCACCACCGGCATGCGGACGTCCTGCAACGGGTGTTTATCCGAATTCAGTTCCAACTGGTTGTCAACAGCCGAGCGGAGGACAGGCTGGCTATCCAATTCAACAATATCCACCTAATCAAAATCCACTGGCTGCGGCTCATTCTGGAGGTAATGCACCAAGCTATGGTACACATCAACCTGCCTATCAGCCCGCACCGTCTTCACAGCCTCCACAGCCCGGTTATGCATATCCCGGTCAACATCTGCCACAATATCCCGTCTATATGCCAGGTTATTATCCGGGCATGGGACCAGCAGCAATTGGTATGGCAGGCAACCTGCCAATAGTTAACTACCCCGCGGGAGTAGCACCATCAGCACCACCACCCGTCAGCTATCAGAATCAATATAACTATGCACCGCATCCAAGACCAGGACAAGGGGATCATTGGAATCACAGATATAAGGTGCAAACCGAATACACCGAGGATGGTGTACACAAGGGACCCTTTGGCGTGCTGAACAATCATGGAACGCAGGGCTACGGCAGTGGCTTTAGCAGCGGCTATAATGGTGCCTACAGCCGGCCAGGTTACTGAAAAGGCACACGTATAAGTTATGGTCATAAGTTAGGTGTAAGCTTCCTTACCTTCTTCGCCTGCTTTTCGGTGTCAGAAGGTGTCACTACGAGAGGCAGCTGCTTTGAAAAAATAAATAAACTTGATTTACTCGCACACAACCAAAAACCAAAGTAATTAGCAATGTATTCCGGGTTGCACCTTGAGCAAAAAAAAAAAAAAAAGAAGCAGAACGACGAGCAGCAACAGCACGAGGACAACTATTTATTTTTGTTGTTTTACCTTTGTCCTGGACGCCCTACCTTGCGAACCGGAAAAATAATCAGTGGCATTGCATTTGCGTAGAGCAAGAAGAACACAAAAGGAAATACAACTACCTGGTTGCAAGCAGCCGAAAAAAGCATTGTGCTCCATGCTTAAGAAAGGTGGTAGAAAACGTCAAGCAGACAGACAGACAAACAGACTGAGAGACTGACAGACAGGCATTGAGACAGACACGACCTTTTTATTTTCGGGCTCAAAATTGCAGCGGTAGAAATCGGTTATGTATGCAGTGATTTCTAGAAGACCGGCAACTAAGAACGAGGAGCGAGGTGCGGTGAACGGGCACCCGAGGATGTCGATGTCCTTGTTGATGTCCTGCGGCGCACATGCGCGCAGCCTGCCCAAAAATATAATTTGGCGCTAAAAATGTTGCAGACGCGCCAAAAAAAAATAAATACATGAGATTATTGATTTGTGTGTGCGTGTGTGTGTGTGTGTGTGTGTGTGTGTGACAAAGGATCAAATACTCACCTGAAGAAAATCAAAGAAAACTAGAGCGACACAAGAATGCCACAAATATATATATATGTATATAAAGATATGTGAAGTAATTTCACTTACCTAAAGACTTTCTCATCATGCAATTTCCACCCTTCAATATATATGTATATATATATATATATAATTTACATTATTTTTGAAAAGTGAGTGTGTGTGTGTTTATTGGTTATTCTTGACTGGCAGCGCATAATACATACATACATATACAAATACATATATGGGATAACATGGCATACGGAATACATACATAATACAATTACTTAGACAAACATTGAACATAATACATACATAAATATAAGTCATGAATGTTTAACAAATACAATAATCATCAGTTTACAACAACTACAACATATTACGTACATAAAATTGGAGGAACAAATCCCGGTTAGTTGTTAGTATCGTATATTATAGTAAGTAGTATCTGAAACATCTGTATAAATTTGTTGTTGCGTAGTAAAATCCATGTCAGAGCTTTGCTTGTGCTTAAAGTATGTGTGTAAAATTTATTGTTATTTTTGTTGTTCTTCTTGGGATTAAAAATAGCATAGCATATATTTAAATACAATCGATACATTTTTATTTATGGGTGGCGGTCAGTTGTGTCTAAACAATAAACGTGAAACAATGAAAAATTAATAATGGTTAATGGTTAATGGTAATGGTCATAATGGTAAATCAGTGAAGAAATGTTACAAAATAAAATAAAATTAAGTAAACATAAAAATATAAGATGTATAATATGCATATGAATATGATGAATTGGCTTCTTCTTAGTTATTTTCTTATTTGTTTTGTTGTGTTGGTGTTTAGGTCTTAATGTCTAAGTGAAGCGTAACATTTTTTTGTTCTTTCTTTCTTTTTCTTGTTTGTTTGTTTGTTTCTCGATTGTTAATTTGGCTAAATGGAAAAAGCTTGCTGTCGCTTACATCGATAATCTTGATATATTCTCATCCAGTGCACGAGTTGCTATCGTTCAGATCGAGATTGCATTGGAACATCTGCTGATTGCTGAGCAGCGGCACTTTGGCTACTTCATGAAAGATCTTGTGTGAATACTTGTTCCGTATCGTCTTGATTGTGGCCCGCGGCGTCCGATGCAGTCCCCCATTCAGCACGGGTATAATCTCGGCAAAATCTGCCAACTGATATCCCGTATAGTAGATCAGCGTTGAGCTCCAGGTCTTTTTGTGCACATTTGCGACGCCGCCATGCATGCGCAACGCCATAAATAGAGCAGCCGATGCCATCTGGGAATCACTAAATCCAATCGTCGCATAATCCATCAGCGATAGCTCCAAAATATAACGGGCCAGAGTCAGCGTGGGCATCTGCACATTGGCACAGCGGGCATAGCGGCGCAGGAAGCGATACGAGAGCGGAATGCCGAGATCATACTTGATGGTGCGCAACGTTTCCATCTCCATTTTGACCAGCTCCTCGTGATTGTACGCTCCATCGCAAATGTACAGGAAATCCTCAATTAAGGGCGGCTGACGTTCATCATATTTGCAGGCAATAAAGAAGGCAGCGGCGCCTAACAACTGCAACTTCTCCTTGTTGATCACCGTGCGGCACAAATAGAGATCGACGATTTTCACAGCCAAATAGAGCGTCTCATGGTTGAGTTCAAAAGTCTCCTGCACCTCGACCATCCAGTCGACGAGCAGTGTTCGCATCCAGGTGGTCAAATGTACTTGCTGCGGCATATAATCGTGTATGGGAAACTCTGGTTCACGCTTCTTTAAATAGTTGAATATATCCATGGCATAGTGGGAGACCTGGAACGGATCATCCCAATTTTTGCGATCAAAGTCCTCCACATCCGAGGGCACAGGTGGCACAGGCGTCAATTTGGCAGCAGCAGCAGCGGCAGCGGCTGCAATCATCATCGATTGCTGCACTACCGTTGGCTGGTCAGTCTTTTGTTGCAATTTGGCGGAGCGTCGACGGGTGGCCTCAAAGTTGCCCGAGAGACGCATCGAATCGCAGGTGGAGATGTCCTCCAGCGCAGACATATACAGGCTCTCCTCAGTCTTGTTAAAATCATTTGAGATGCGACGCACTGGCTTAACGACAGCCGCTGCTGCTGGCAGTGGTGGTGGCGGCGGTGCCGGCAATTTGAGCAAAGGCTGCGGCACTGCATCCGGCATGGCCATGGGCATGGCCATTGGTTTCTTGGCGGCCACTAGTGACTTACGCGTCTTTGGACGCGTCAGCGCCTCCTCGAACTTGTCGAGCACCTTGTGGCAGTTCTCCACGGCATCTTCTATCTTGCTTGAGGCGCGCGTCATTATTTTATTGGGCATGGAAGGGGCTGCTATGGCTGCGCCGGCGACGAACACGTTCCCATTGTCATTGTTCTTAGCATCCAGGAGCGTCTGCAGCTGCTGTGCTGTAGGTTTCTTGGGCGCTTGTACTTGCTGCTGTTGCTGCTGATCCTCTTCGCCGGGATGCAGGGTCATAATTTTCACATTGTTTGTCAAATTGCCCAGCGCCGTGCGCTTGATCTTATCATTTTTGATGGGACTATTGTCCGCTTTGCGCTTGCCGCGCGTCTGCATATTCTCCATATTTGGATCGATGTTGTTTTGGTTGTGGTTCCCACCCGCCGCCACCCGTCGGCTCAGCCCCTTTCCACGCAACGGTAAAACTCCCTTTATGACCGCTGTCTGACTGCTAGCAGCCGCTGCTCGAGTTGTGCCCTTAATTGGCGCCATTTTGAATTGCTGTCGTCGTGGTTGTTGTTGTCCTGCTGCACACTGCGCTTTCGTGCCGTGCGTGTTTTTGTTGTTGGGCTGATGTTGTTCTTGTTGTTTTTACTGCCGTTTTGGTACTTTGGTCTCGCGCTCCGTTATAGCTTTGTTTAATTGTGAATAGACGAATTGTTTTAAGTGAGTTGTTTGCTTATTTATTGTTATTTTTTTGTAAGCGTCTGAGCGTCTTATAAAACTCACTTTGATTCACTTTGACTTATGGCGCTTGGGCTGCTCTGCTCATAACGGCGCTTGCAAAGATACAAAAGTGAAAAACAGCGCCAGCTGCAAAAATCAAAAAACGTGATGTTGGCTGCGGCGTCTGTTTTGTAGGGTTGTCGTTCGAATATTCATAATGTATACGTTGCCACCACGTTACAAATGCTTGGCGCGTAATCTATGTCCACCGGAGCCATTCAAGTCGAGGTAAAAGATGAGATGATGCAATATTGCATTTGAACTTAACGTATGAAAAGTCGATACAGTATGTAGATTGCTATGAGGTGCCTTATTTTAGACTAATCACAAACACAAAGAAAGAAAATATGTGCCATTTTAGTTAAAACTTAAAGCCCTTAGTCGATAAGAAATGTATTTAAAGTACAATTAAATTACCGAATATATTTCTACTGCTCTAAAAAAATCAAATTAAAATCTAGTTAAATGCAATCTGGCAACGTAAATACTTAATGAAGAACGATGCTAATTTGAACTTAACGTGTAATTTGTATATATAAAATGTGATTAGTGTGATAAGCACTAAGCATACAATACAAATAATTCAATTAAAGTATTTGTAAATATTCTTTGGGGTGCATATTTTATTAACACATACTTATCCTTGATTTAGAAAAACGCCCAGATTTATAGAAGCAACCAGTTGATTGTGACAAATGCATTGCTGAGAGCAACCATAAGGAATAATTAACTCTAGTTAAGGGACACATTTGCCAAATTATATTTGGTTGCAGGCAATCTCGTCGCCGAGTTCTTTGGTGATCCATCGACAACAGCACTGGTTGTTGTTGAATCACCGATGCCTAGGCAGAGATAAAATATGGTGGCACCCCGGAATTGCAGGCAACTTTTCTTATATAGCCGGGTTATTGATCTCTCTGATGGGCTGTCGAAAACACAGATACCAAGTAAATATGATTCACGCTGATGCTCATCGTTGGCAGCACAAAAATGAGACGCACAGGCGCCTTGACGCCTCTATAGAACAACAAATAGAGTCATCAAAGGGGCTGATTGGTGTTATAAGTTATATGTTGTTGTTGTTTTAATTGGACTAATCACAGATAAAGAGTTAAAATACAGATATTACTTCCAAAGCTTGATGACACCGTCTCGCGATGCCGATGCTATATAGATTTGACCCTTATCCTTGCACATGAGTAAATCGGTAATCGCATCGTGATGACTTGCCTTGGGCATATCCGGTCCCGATCTGGGACTCTCTTCGATCGAATTGCGCAACTGTTGCGAGTCGCCTGCGTTGCACTTAGGAATGATTTGCTCCTCAATCACCTGGCTGCCATCGATGAGACGGGCACTACAATAATCCAAAGATAAATATGTGATAAAATCTGAGAATCCGTAGCATAAATATAGTTACCTATAGTTAAAGGATACATTTGTCAAGTTATCATTGGCTGCGGGCACTTTCAGTGCCGAGTTCTTTGGTGATCCAATGTCCCAGTATCTGATGCGTTGATCCGAGCTACCCGTCAAAATAAATGGCGATCCATCGACAACTCCACTTAAGATGCCGCAATTTGTTGCCGGATCATTGAGACTGGTGTTTGTAAGCACCGGTGCCGAACTGGCCCAGAGCACCGTTTGTCGCTGACCCGTCTCAATGTTCCACACAGACACCTCATTGTTCGACTGCGAGGCGGAGATCAAATACGATGGCTCCGTGGGATGGCAGGCGACTTTCCTTATCCACGAGTCCGCCGGATGCTTAATCTCTGTTATGGGCAGCCGAAATCGCAGATCCCAGCAAATGTGCTTGCCCCCACTGGTGCCCGTTGCCAGCCACGAGCCCGTTGGATCTGCACAGATGGTCGTAATTACGCCGTGACGCAACTCATTCTGCAAACGCCAGGCGCTATGCTGCATCCGGGTATCCCAGGCCACAATGCCGCCATAGAGTGTGGCATAAACAATGACACTCTGCGCTGCCTGATCATAGGCATGCATATCCACAACTGGTCCATCATTATTATGTTCTCTGCAAGAAAAACTGGATTAGTCTATGCCCCATTATAATGTGAAAATTGTAGAATATATATTTTACTTCTGATCCAGTGCCTGTTGCAGCGTCATCTTGGTGGAATTGCGATCGATGCGCATGATGAGCAAGCTGCCATCCTTGCCGCCCACCGCCAGCGATTGTCCAGCGTCACAGGCGGCAAGCGCATAGATTGGCGTCTGAGCGCAATAAACCTGGCGCGATTTATTAATGCCCTGATTGCCATTCAGTTTGCTGCAGTCCCACAGCCGAACAGTGCCATCGATGCTGCCGCTGGCAAACAGAGAACCATCGGGTCGTAGAGGGGCCAACTTAATTACCGACTCGGAATGCTCATGCAAATGGGCCACCAATGTGCCATTGAGACGCCAATTGGATGGATACGGTGTCACAAGCTTATCATAGTTGCAACGTTGCGAGAGTGCCAGGACATTATAGCGACGCTTGATCTTTAGCGTCAGCGACTCCAAGTCCTTGCAGCACTCCGACGAACGTTCCAGCGAATAATTGCGATCCGGCATCGTATATTCACCCAGTGAAGTGGCCGCGCTCACTGTGCTTGTCGGCACACCCAGCACCATGACGCCGGAGGCGGGACTGCCCGATGTGCCAGCGGTCATGTGGGGCGTAACAGCCGCATCGGATGCAGGCGATACCAGTGTGGGAGCATGTGCATCATTAGTGCCTATAATGAAAATAATTTAATTGAATGTAACAATTAGCAGCTATCGATCAGCGCCGGGCTACCAAACCTGAGACAGATATGGACGCAGAATGGGAAAATAGGTATTTATAATTAAAAATCTTACGATTATCAAGCAACATTTTGTTGGCCTTGTCGGCGAGTGGATATTCGTGGCATGCGACTTGTTTGCGGCTGACCACAATGCGTCCATTGGCCAGGCCTGCATCGTCGGGATCCTGCAGATCCTTGTGCTTCAACGATATCAAAAACGTTTTCATGGCCAACAGTTGCAGCTCGATCGTCTCCGTTAGTCCTTCCGAGTTGAGCCGCCTGAAAAGCTGCAGTGTTTTGGAAATGTGAGTGGTTCGCTGGAGAACGACCGAAATTGCCAAAGCACTTACATTGCGCAGTGTCTGTCCCATGTCCTCCAGCTGTGCCTGCGGCTGGCCGCTGTGGCGCGTGTTACTACGCAAACGCACCCGATCCTCGAGGGCGCCAACGAAATGCTGTATGTCCTGGAAACGCAACACGCTATCAAAGATCTGTCTGGGTATGGGCGGCAGCAGGCAGTCGAGCAGAATATGTGGCTTCTCCACTTGGATAACCGGCGCCTTGAGGAATCTACCAATCGCTGGCATAATCTTACACTGCACATCAATTGCGCTGAGATTGCGCGCCGTTGTGGCGATCATGCCACAGATCTCGTGACGCACCCACAAATTCGGATGGCACATATAACAGGCGGTCTCATTCACAATCTCCGTTACGGTGGGCTTTCTAATGTGTCCAAGCTCAATGAGTGTGGTTACCGCTCTAATGGCCTTGGCTATGACGAACTCCTCGCGATCGGTAAGTCCTTGTTGGAGTAGCGGCACCAATATATCCGACGCCTGCCAACCCACATAGCCAGCAACGCCCGCGATATTATCGTAGAAAGCACCGCGCAAGTTCTTATCATCATCGTTGAGGAAAGTCAGAATGTGAGCGAGAATCACTTCGCTGGCCTTCTCCTTGCCAAAGAACGCACACAGATCACAAATGCCCGACTCCATTAGTGTCTGCTTGACAATCGGTTGCGAGTCCGTCAACAAACTAAGCACCGCCAGACGCACAACGTCATGCAGAGCATTCAGCTCTGCTTCGTAGCGTGGAGTGGGCATCTCATTGGGTGCATTGCGTTGCGTCTCCTCCAGAAAATAGACAGCACTCTTTGCTAGCACTGCAATATTTCGGGCGAAAGCAACGCGTACAATTACCGCACTTGATTCGCTGGCCAGATCGGAGATGTAGGGCAGGATGTATTCGGGGAAGACGTTGGCATCACTGCGTGGAATGTCCTTCACCATGCTCAGGCAGGCTGTCAGCGTTTCAAAGGCCTGAACCTGTACCTTTGCCGTCGACTTTTGCGCCAAATTAAGCTGAAATGTGTTTGAGAGAATGAGATGAAGAGTAAGATTTGTCAAGTAAATCTCAATACATACAATGTAGGGCAATATGCGATCCAGTATGGTCTCCGAGGTGGTATATTTGGATAGCTTTTGCAGCAGCTGCAGTGCAGCAATTTTCGTACTTGACTGCTTCAGTCCACGAATGCAAGAGGTAACCACTGTGATGATTAATATTAGGCCATCCTGTTCCGGTGGCAGGCGTTCACATTTAATCGGATCCCTTTTCTCCGGGTTGTGTTCGTCCTCGTCACTGGGTGTCAAGTCCTGTGCTTGTGTCAGCACCTTGATACAGTGTCCAATATCCTTGTGCAGACACTGTATCTTATCATCTGGCGACATAATTGGCGTCGATGAGAACATTTGCAAATACGACTGCAGAAATGAGTAAAAATATTCAGGAAATAGTTGATCACGTTCCTGATCCAAATAATCCTCGGCGCTCCTGCGATTCATCGAATTAATGTCAATCATAGATGCCAGCAAATTACGCAATCGCTCGTTCTCAATCCCAGCCAAGTGTTTCTCCACCAACTCTCGTTCCCCGAGTCTATAAGCGAGCAGCTGCGACAGCTCGAATGGAGCAGTGCCCTCCGTCCATAGCTCAAGCAGCGCGCAACTGCAAGTTATAATTGAATTAATATTCTTTACTGTCATTTAATTGTGCATAATATCAAGACTTACCCAGCGGAAAAGATATCCATAGCCGGCTGTAGAGTGTTTCCTGCATATGAGGTCGGCACACGTATTATCGAATCGGAGTGTATAACCGACATATTTGCATTATAGGGATCATCCTCTGAGGACAGAGTTTTTACAAAGCGTTCGGGAGCTATGTAGCAAGTGCGACGTCGACTTGTATCAAAGAAATATGTATAATCAGCTGGATTATCTTCGGGCAGATATGTGGGCTTGAACGATGCAAAATCCGACAATAGAATCCAATTCCACGAAGTAATCAATATGTTCTCCAGCTTAATATCGCCGTGACAGATCTTCTGCTTGTGACACTGATTCAGAGCGCATAGTATCTGAAATGTGATCCACTTTTTCTCCAGCACAGTTAAAAATGGTCGCGTGGACACGCGATCATAAAGACTATGCTTCACATACTCGCGCATTATGTAGGCCGCCTTATCAATGAGCTGGAAAGGATTAAATATCTATCAGGTATATATTTTTGCGAAAAATCTAATTGCGTCCAAACCTCGACTCGCTGGAAGGGCAAACAATTAACGGCATTCGCCAGCGTTAATATTTTCTTGATGCTCTCCAAACGCTCCTTGTGATCCTCCAACGGTAATGTCGGATCATGTTTGACAAATACTTTCACAACAATTAAGCCCTCATCGGTTTTGGCTTTGGCAACCTTAAAGAAACGCGTACTGCCCATGCTGTGGGTGGATGAGAAACGTCACAAATTATTAATTATTATACATACGTATACATGCGTGTATATACACATTCATACTTATGTATATAGCACATATAGTAGTAGTCATAGCACAGCTGTTAAATTTTATACTCACTTCAAGTCGAAAATGATTTCGTTGCCAAACTGGCCCGAAAAGTAGTGTTCCACTGCATAGATCTGCGATGGTGCAATGCCAACCAATTGATTACCCATTTTCCTGGCATTTGCTCCTATCTGCCGATCACAACACTCGCTTTTTTCGCTATTTGTTTTGTTTTTTATAGCACAAAAATGCAGCTAACACTTTTTCTTGTTGGTGTATTTTCGTGCAGGGTTGCCAAATACGAAATTAAAAACAAAAAGAAAAAAAGTGCTGGCAAACGTGACCTTAACAGCTGTTGTGCTTGCAGCAGCTATCGATTTATTTTAAACACGCGCGCTTAGCTAGTTTTCGAATACATATATACTAGAGATAAGAAATGCAAACGTAAGCGTCTGTTTAAAGTTCGAAGACCTGGTAGAAATTGATAATTCAGCAAAATAATTATTGGTAAATCGTATAAATTGGAGCACCATTAATACCAATCAATAGTTGAAATCGGCGTCCAATCAATTGCACATAATGCATATTTCATACATTTTACTGCTTGCCTGTGTTTTGGGTCTGGCTCAAGCTGGAACCTGGAGAAAGTCACAGGACTCCAGTTTAAATGATGAGGAATCTCGAGCCAGCTGGACTCACAAGCAATCAGATATGTGGCCCCGTGATGTGGCTGATTTTCCCGAAGCCAATTTGCTCATCCACAAAGTTGAGAAACGTTTGGAACGTGTTCACAATAACGACCAACTCAAAAGTCAAGTTGTCGACTATGTTGTTAACCAGTTGAGGCAGTGCAAAACGGGCAATGAAATGGACGAGCATTGTGTGAAGCGTTCAATTGGATATGCCATGTCCTTCATCAATCGCCATCAATATGAATAGCTATAATACAAAAGAAGTATTATATATACGCATAATAAATGCAAATCAAACAAAAACAAGAACATTGTATAAATATATATCAAAATAAAGAAATGCATAACAAATAAAAATGAAAACAGATAATTATTAAATATCATCGGCAGTGTTTTCTATGTTTTAGTCTGTTGCTTGCCAAATTTGGTGTATAGGTTTTCCTTAAATCGCTCCCTGCGTATATCGTCCAACCGGAAGCGTCGCAGAATATCCCGTCTGTCGAATATGGACATAGTTACATCTTGACAATCGCGGGAGGGCAGACAAAAAGTCCAACTGCCAAAGATGGTATCGATGCAACCACATTTCTTACAAAAGCCCATAAAGGTGCCCATCAAATTGGAGTTGAGTCTGCGACAGGATAAGGTTATAGGTCCACCCAGAGTATTAATTGTGTGACCCGTGAAAATCCATTCGGTTATGTTATCTATCATATTATGCACACGAGGAGGCAACGTATCCTGTATTGTTATATTTAATGGGGTCATTTTATTTGTCTTCTCTTCCAGGCGCTCCTTCATTTGAGCTTGGCTAAATTTAACACACTGTCGACGCACTTTCGGTTGATAGCAGGTGGGTTTAATTTCCTTCACAATGGGTTTATTGTCGTCCTTGATGTTGATACGTATGCCAAGCAATAGCGACTCCCAGGAGCCTGTTAATTCACAAGGAGCGCCTGATAAAGAGCAAAATAGTAAGAATTTGTATGCAAACCTTAGTTCTTAGGATTCAGCTAACCATCTGTTGGATCAGGAAAGCAGCAAGGTAGATGTTCTTGTGTACTCTGATTCAAGTTAGCATCTTGCATAGCCTGCAAACGTTGTAATATCTTTTCCAAAATCGGCGCTAAATTCGCATTATTCATTCCCTCTCTGAGACTCGGTATTGTGCTTACCATTTGGCGTCCGTTGGTCTGGCTTGCTTTTTGAAAATCTTTGTAAACTCAGGTGGTGCTTAATACAACACTACTTACCCAAATTGGAGTCCATGCCAGCTATACGCTGAGCCATCTCCACGGGTGACACATTCAATTCCCTGGCCATACTCTCAATCATTTTACCACCGCCTGCCACAGGCACCTGTCCAATTTTATTAACAAGCACTTCGGGAAATGCTATATTTGTGGCTGTCGCATCAAAGTTATTTGGCAAGCTGCGCTTTAGCGCTTTTTCCACATTTATACAGTGATGTCTAGTTTGAAATATTTTAAGGATCTGCTGGAGTTGCGTTTGATTTTTAATGAATGTTGCTGAATGTGTTCCACTTTTTTGCATGGTTTTATTGTTAAGAACAGCCTTTGTTGCATTTGATTCCCCTTCGTTAAGATTTGGGGCATTTTTAGCTAAGACTTTAGGTGCTCCCGATATTGGTTGCTCGGATTTGTCTTTACCATCGGACTTGACCAATGGTATTTCATTCCACACCATTTGCCTTTGCTTCGAGTTCGATATATAATAAGGATTGGAGCCGTCATTCAATGTATTTTCCTTGCTAGTTTCCATCTGTTTGAGATGCTCCTTATTATTATGTGACTTCCTTGCATCTGGCACAACGGCCATGTTGATACCCTTCATCGCCTCACAATGACAAGGAATTAATCCATTAGACATTTTACCCGTATTTCCATCGACAGATACACTTTCTGATTTCGTTGCCTCACAGTGACACGGAGCAGAATCTTTCGATATTTTTGGGCCTCCACCATCGATGGATATTTTAGCGGTCTTCACTTCATCGCAATGACATTGGGTTAATTCTTTAAGTGATTTTCCCTTTAGAAATTTAGGTGGATGCTTGTCCGCCTGCAAAATGCCATGGAGTTTTTTCTTGTAATCTTCATAAAGACCGCCAGTTTTTACTTCGTCCACATTGGGAGCCACCCGTTTGAATTTTTTCGCTGTCTGCCTATGGGCTTGTAAGCTCTTTGGATTATCATTCGCTGTTAATTTATTGGTACTGATTAGACATTCTTTTTCGGGATTCATTTCATCATTGATGGCTTTGACAATATCATCCACAGGATTTGATTGTTTAAGATTCTCAACAATGTTCACAAGCTCATTTAAGGCACTTAGACGAACGGGAGGCACTGGAAATGTGTTCTTCTCGCCGAGGAGGTTAAGACCCTGGGAATCTGATGTTGGGTTTCGCCAAGCTTTCATAAAATCCGTATATATCTGATTTAACTCGACAATGCGCTTTTCAGCTGGATTCATGTCGATTGGTGATTTTGAGGAATCTACCTTGTTTTTTGAAGGCACCTTCGTTTTGGCTATAAGATGGTCCTTATCTTTAAGCTTTTTCATATAAGATTTCTTTTTGACATCTTCCACATCGTTTGAGTTGTTTTCATCGGGTAAAGTGCGTTCAGTTGTGTCATCAAGTTTAAAGGGTGGAGCCAAAGTCATTTTGGCGAGCCTGAGATCTTTGTTGCTTTGCTTATCTGTTTTTATTGGCTTGTCCAGCGTCTTGTGTGATTCGACAAGTTTCTTAATGGTATCGGCATCATTTTCTTCTGCTATAGCCGCTTTTTTGCTTATTTGACCCACATCCAGCTTAACTTCACCACCACCACCACCCCTATCATCCAGCAGTACCCTGTAAGCAGTGTAGAGACGGGGTATATTCACTTTGCTGTTTGTCATTCGCTTCCAACTGACTACTTTATTGGGAGGCGCATTCTGGTTAAGCCTTTGTTGCATGTGGTTCAGTTTTGTTGCATTTGCTGTGGTCGTAATCGATAATAGTAAGAATAGATATATGATTGTTATTCGTAGTCCGAGCTGTAGATCAGGCCAAGCAAACATTTCATTTTGTGCCGCCAATATAATTTAAACATTTGGCAAAATAGCACAAGAGCTTTTACAAATTTATGGAATAATGTAATTATTTTATTTAGTAGCTTCTAAAATTTGTATATGTCCAATTGTAAGCTATCGGACATATAACTCAAAACGACAGTCAAAAACAATCGTAATAGGAAATAAATGTGTCTGTGACGAAAACTAGCTTCTCGAAGTGAACCTTGGGCAGAGATGTTCATTCAATTATCTTTTCCTTAACATAACAATTTTAATTTAAATGCGGACAAAAACGTTTCCTTACATTTCCACCATCATCATTCGCCAGTTGAGTTAAACAGAATAAAAAACTATTTTCCAACAAACGACACCGTCCTAAAGTGTTCCGTTTGCACATTGTATTGAACATAATGACGTACAGATGAATACAAATAGAGTCTTCCTATCTTCAATGATGATCTGAAACAATAAAAAATATGAATAGTGCAAATAATTAAAATAATTTGATAATATGAAATAATAGTGAAATATGCAAAATGAGTATTTTCAAAATTACCGCCACTGCATATCACAAATCGTTGCACCTATCGAACGGTTACCGGTATTAACTTAGTGTGGCAACGCTCTCAATGCAACAGCTGATATAATGTTTATAAATATTCCGCACTTTATGCAATAAAAACTGTTGTTTCTGATTAATAAAAATGCAACGTACGCGTATTTTGCTGAAACCCCGAGCTTCCGAAGTGCTAACAGCTTATTTGAAACAGTGTCAAGAGCCATTCTGGACGTCATATTTTGTAAAGGTAAGTGAGAAAGCGAGCCAACGTAAAATCTCTTTACTAAAAGCCCTTTGAATTTAGTTTAAGGATGTTCAAAACGATCAGCGGGGAATGTCGCACTTTAATTGGACTCTGGAAACCGGCACAAATTATCATATATTACGCACAGCGTGTTATCCATACATGAAATATCATTGCAGCAAGCGTGAATACGAGGATCTCTCACTGGAGGATAAATTCTTTCGCTTTCTGAAAGTAATCAATTTGGGTAAGGATTAAGATATATATATATATATATATATATATATATATATATATATAAATAGTCTATCTGCTATATCAAACCATACTTGTCGCAGGCCTCCCTATGCTATTCTATGGACTTGCCGCAATTCGTCTAATAAGCCACAAAGAGATCGTTCGCCTCAACGATAAGGTGGAGGTGCCTATTTATTTTTTGTACGCCGAAGATAAAGGGTCGAGGTTCTGAATTTCTAATATATTCGAAATCCTGAAATTTAACACTTAAGAATGTTATATTTTGATATGATGATTAAATGGCTGTGGTAAACCCGTTCCCTACAATTTCACAAATAATTTGAAAGACCTCTAAAAAGATTCATTCAAAAAATGTCCACCACAAGTTGTAAAATTGTACACTAAGTTTTATAGAAGAATCTTTAGTTTTCATCCGGTAAACCTATATTTTTTCACAGCGTATCTGGTATATATCTTTATATATGTCAAAAAATAACAACATAGCAACATTTACAGAATACTTGCAACAATAGAAAACAAAAAAAAAACAACAATCAACCATTAACTTAGTTCTTGCAGTCTGTTATAGGATTCTCGCAGGTTTCATCATAGTTGTCCAGCAAAACTGGCTCCAGTGAGGCGCTAAACTGACTAAGCGAACAGGGCGCATCACAATTGGGAATGCTCAGCTCCTTGGGGAATTTGTCCTCGCTGTTAAAGTAGTAAACCAACTAGAAAAAACAAATAAATAAGGCTCAAAATTCACTGACATAATTTTCCAATTTACCTTCACTTCGAAATCCCCATCAGCGAAAGATTTGCTGTGATGCAGTTCAAAAACTAATGCCGCCGCATATTCCGGTAGATTTGCTGTCTGATCCAATATTCCTAGGGAATTCATCACATTCACAAGCGTTACGTCATGCGCTGAATATAGAAATATCTTGCGATCTGGACTTAAATTCTTTCGGCGTTTGTTTTGCATTTTTTTGAGTATTTCGGTGAGAAATGCACCACCCTTAATCCGCTTCATCAGATGCGTTTCCGTAAATAGAGTATAACTCCGTTCAGCCAAAGGTCTAATTTCCTCTGGGTATATATTCTCCGTCCAATCGGGCAGCGTCAGACTAACCTCCTCTTCGGTTTTTAAAGTGGTATACAAAAGTTCCACATCCAGCACAGTGGAAATGTTCTGTGGGATATACAAATCGAATTAGAATAAATAAGAGCGTTCTAGTCGAAAGCATCTGATTAGAAGATACACTGTACTTTGAAAGCTGTAGAATATACATTTGAAGTTGAATTCGTTCTGGACTAAGTATCAATCACTAATCATTTGAAAAACAAACGTTAATATATATAGCAATAAAAATGCTTGAATTAAATACAAAATATTATTTTAAATCATTTTTGTACTTAATATTAAAGATCTTAAGTTCGTCCACTGACTTAGGACTTCGATGCTGACAACACTTTATCGGACGAATCGCCGGACAGATAAATATTGATTAAAAATATTTTATACATATTTGTATATAAATCCTCTTTCATTTGTTTTTCTTACTTTTCCCGTATTTTTGCTGAGTAGTTTGTAGAGCGCCTTGTTTTCCTCATTTAGCTTTCGCAGCTCTGGGGGTGGATTTTTGTATAGCTTCTGTAGAATGTTGTCATATTTGGCACAAGGCTTCTTTTGGGCCAAAAGCTGTGAACGAATCAAGGAAAGTTGTGCACACGAATTTAAAATTTGGTTAGATGGAGCTACTTACAATATCATCGTTGCGGGCTAGGGTGTTTATGGCCACTGGTTGCCAGGGAATTGGCAGCACATTGTTGTTGTCCAGCGGCGGCATCAAACCGGCCAATACGCTTTGAGCGCTCATCTAAAAGATAACTACCAACTGATAAGACACACAGTTTCTCTTATCGCCAGACTAAGTAATATCTATATATCTTATTGACTTATTGACGCACCACACAGCGTTCCGCGGCGGAGCTTAGAACATGCACCTGCTGCTGTGTGTAAATACTATTGGATGGTAATAAGCGATAATAACGCAGGCGCAGATTCCGACCCAAATTGTAAGATTGCAACGTGCCCTTCTGCACAATGAGAGAGAATCGTTATGAATTTATACATAATTTGTATATATTATTAGTTCACCTGTGTGAGCGCTCCGAGTCCTTCCTGCCAATCGTGCGCTGCATGTGGATCGTTCGGATAGAAGCCACTCGGACTTTTGGCACCATGGCGAAACAGCTGTTAATAGAACATTAATATCAATGTAGTTAAGTTGGTCGAAAGTAAATACCCTTGCAAGCTTTGAATATTAGTTCTTTTTAGGCGTCGCTTATCACGCACCCCAAAAATCGAATAAATGTTGATAATGCGATGCTGATTAAAATTTGATCAACTATTAGAAGTATAAGAAAATATATGTTTGAAGAAAACAGAAAAGAAAATGTAATACAAAATATTCATTTAAAATGTATATATTATATATTCGTATGTGCAGTATGTTGTTCTGCTTAAGCGTCATGCCTTATTTTCTTGTTTTTAATGTAAATTTTTGCAATGTTGTAAATTTTGTACAAAATATCCATTTAAGATGAATTGCAACTTTCAACTTTTCTCTAACCTAAACTTTTTTAAATTACATTTTTAACTCAGCCAATGGATCTACACAATTCCACTTTATGTATTTAGATTATTCGCTTTCTTTGCGCTACCTGCTCAGTGACAAAACGATAATAACTCTCTGGAAGGGTATGCAATGAATGCTGTGCGCATTTGACGTGGTTTTTTCGTGTTTTTTAAGCTTGTGCTTACAATTGATATCATGCGTAGCTTTTTGAGACCCTGCTCATCGTTGCTGTCGCCAAAGACAAAGTAAGCCATCATCACAATACATAAAGCGCTGCCCAGTACTATAACTGATATTTTAGTGCCACGCCGTGATTTGCAGTCGAACGGCGACATTTTATTTGAATTTATTGTTGTATTTATTTGACTGCAGTTTATTATAATATATAGACGTATGCACTCGAGCACTTTAGAAAAGTTCACAGCCTAAAAATAGTTTTTTTTATTTTGTTTTTGTTTCGTTTATTTTATGTTATTGCTTGTGCGCGAATAACAAACAATAATAAATACGCAACACAACACGTCGGCAACTGAACAACAACTAAACATCGATAGCAGCTTGGCCTCATAAACTTACAGAGAGCGATAGATATAGAAAGAGAGAACGAGTGAGAGTGAGCGCTAAGAGCGAGAGAGTAAGAGAGCGAAGTCAAACATGTGCTAATAATCAAATTATGTAGCCGTCGCACACAAAGACCCCAATGGGAAATTTAGCGTTGCGCACACGTTGGAACACAGCCAAAGACAACAACGACATGTTCAGCTTATAGCAAATTCATTTTATTTGTATACCCCATCAGATGTTACTTCTATTTTGTAAATTAAACAGCTGCCATTGGAAAAAATAGAAATGTTTTCCATCAGCAAGGGAATTTAATATTAAGCTCGCCTAAAATTAGTGTTATTTCTTGTTTTTTTTTATAATCACGCGTCATTTTAAGACAAAAAACTTGTTAAACATATGGAATATATTTATCTTTATTTTTGTAGCAGGTTCACTTAAAGCAACAAAAAAACACAAATTGGGTGTAATATATAAAAATATATAAGCGTGTGTATGTGGTTGTATATATGATGAATATATGTATAAATATACATGCATATAATATATGTATGTGTGTGTAGAGGAACAGGACTTTGGTCTGTTTCTGATACATGCACAACGCCTCTCATTTAGAGCAGTATAGAGTTGAAAGCTTAAGCAATCCTGCAGTCTAAAGAGAGTATGGGATTTAAAGGACAGTCTATGTTGTTCCATCTGCGTGGTCCTCCTCGGATTCACTGGTTGGCTCCTCGACCAAATATCCCTCCTTAGCACGATAGATGTTTTTTTTCTTGCCACTTTTGTTTGGTTTAATACATGTTTCTGTTGCAGAAGCGTCTCCATTTCCAGTTTCATACTCATCCTCATGCCGGGGATTAGAAATAGTCGGTGGATGGTAACTGGAATGTGGCTGCTCCACGTCCTGCTCACTGTATCCATTTGTGGTTTGTCTTTGGCGACATGGCACCATTTCAAAGACGAGTCCGCTATGATAGTTATTATCGCCAACCATTGATAAATGGTCTTGAACATAACTCAGATAGTTTACAGGACATGTCTCGCAGCTGTTTGAGAAGGGATATGGCATCATTTGATAGATATATTCCCCAGTTTGCGGCATCTCGTACTCGTAATACTCCACGGTGGTGGTAGTGCGATAACCATGACTCGACATTATGGGCTGTAGTTTACAATATTGCTTGCCCACTGAACTTTGTCTCGCTCAGCTCTAAAATTCGTCCCGAATAGCTCGGCCTTCAATCGGCTCGACCTGGTTGACAACGCTCAATGTCAGTCGGACAAAATAGATACGCACTCCGTGATGCCCCAACAAGTAGAACCGCATATACAATTCAAAGAACATCAGAGCTTTTAGTTAATCCACTCATTAAATTTCTTAACTTGCTTGTCTGCTTGTTGGTTTTTGTATGAGAACTGAAGGGTGAGAAATAATTTTGAAATTCAAACAAATTTTGAAATTTTGAACGAAGCAGCAATCTACTGAGAACTGAAACTTACACTTCATCTTGAAAACTCTAAACACCAAATAAACACTGAAATGGAAAAATCTTATCGCTTTAAGCGAAAGCTCCTTCATTTAATGAAACAATATTCAACAATTACCCTATGCACATTAAACAAGCAAGCAAAAAAAATAAAATAAAATAGCATACTTTTGTAGACTGCAGTCAAATTGGAGAAAACTTAATTTCTGTATAAATGTTTATTTAGTTGACTAATGCTGATAATTTATCGCGTAAAAGCTATGAGTTTGGTTCGGATACATACCAATTTACAAATAAGTTACAAACCTTACGTCAAAATTATAATAGCCCCTACAAGGGTATAAATTTATCAACTCAGTTACACATATTAAAATAGCTCTTATATTTTGCACTCTATTGTATCATAGATATATTATTATAAGCCTTAAATTTAAGTACAGTCTTTAGTCCCACTCTTTGTAAGCGTATTTTTTAGGCCCGAAAATTGTCAACTGCCGCCGAGGACATATCGTTCCGTATCCAGTTCTTCATCGGAATACTGCTGCTCTATTCGCTCGCACTCGGTGTGCTTGCTGCAACGTTTGTATATCAAGTATCCACCCCAAACACTGAGTGGCAGCAGGGCCAGCCCCAGGGGCATGAGGAAGAGCAGCAGGAATTCGTTCGGATCGCTGGCGTCGTCGGTGACTAGCTCATCACTGCTGTTATATTCCTCCCAGTACTCCAGGTCGTCATCGGGTGTCAGTACTTCCAGATACGCCTCACGTATCTTATGGCCACGATAGCTAATTGCCACACAGGCATAATAACCTGCATCCCTTAGTCGGACACTATTCAGAATCAGCTTGCTGAGATAGATCTGTGGACTGATGAGCTTCTCGGGCGATGTCGCGAGAAGCTCATAGGTTCTGCCATTATAGCGCACAATATGAGCACTGAAATTGGAGGAGGCACCGCTTGTAGGCTGAAGCACTTCGACAGCGGGCATAAATCCCCGGCGAAACCATTTTATTGTCAGATGCTCCTCGCTGTGCACGCGACACTGGAACACAACACGAGTGTCCTGATTGGCGGTCTTGTTGCTGGGATAGGCATCAAGAAACTCGGGTGCGGCCAGAGAGCTATCTACAATGGGTGGCAGCAATTAGTAAATTATCCCAATTATCGGTTTATCACTCACTCTTCACATCCAGTTGATAAGTGCGCACCAGTTGCACGTCCACTGCCTGCGAGGCATCCCACACATGGGGATTAATGCTGCACTTGTAGAGTCCCGAGTAGCGCTCAGTTACATTTCTCAGCCACAGTTCTGCACGGCATAGTGTGGATTCGCAGGGCAGAGCTGTCCAATCATCGCCAGATTCCAGCTGATAACAATTGTTGTCGCTGCATTGCTAAAAAATAGAAAGAAAATGTCATATAATCGATTATGATTTGGAGTACGCTCTCCGCATGCTCACCTTGAAGTACCAGTGTATCTTAATATCCGCCAGTTTGCGTTCATCCACCAGACCCGTTAGGTTGCATTGCAATCTCACATCGTAACCGGCTTTTTGTTGTATCAGTTCCGTATTCTCTGCGTGGAAACAAAAGATTCAATGCAATCATGCCAAACATCATTTTAAAATCTAAACATCAAATTGTTTTTGCTTTGTGTTAAAAAAAATTCAAATTATCTTATCAAAAAGTGTTGCCAAAAAAAGAACATGAAAACAAATAAAAGCCACTTGCTCAAAGTTGAAAAAATTGCTCAGGGTACACCTTCCATTGAATCAGCATTTGGTGAGACTAGTTTTGAAGAAGAGTGGGGTATATAAATAATTTAAAATGAAGTTAAGCTGAAGTAAGAATAAGCCGATCTCACAGAGTACAACTAAAGATATGAATTCCCAATAAGCACTCGAAGATCAAATTGGCTACATTTTATCGATAACTGCTCACGTTTCTCGACTATCGATATAAGTCGATTTCCGATGGAAAATATAGCTTTGCAATTAATATGTAATGCACCTTGAAATATTTTTGATAAACGCAGGTTTGGTTAACTAAAATGACTTTTGCACTACTATCAGCAGGGTATCTGCTGGTCGAGTTGTCTCAACTAGAGCATTCAAACAAAATTTATTTACTATATTTCATTCATTATAAAAAAGCATACATTAAACTTGTTATTTTTCACACCCACCTGTATAATCAATAAAGTAGCCAAGCGTTGTGGCCAATCCACAGATGCCAAGTGAGAACCAGATGGTCGCTAAACGTTGCAGTTGCAGCTGATTCATAATTTCAATTGTCAACAACAACAACATCCACAGACGCATTTGATTTAAGACAACATTCTTGACATTGTTTTGCACTTTTTAGTTGGTTTTTCATATAGAGGCCTTGTTTGCTAAATGCATATTATTAGAAAATTACAATTGCTTTGGTTTGTTTTTTTTTTATATTTTCAGTATTATTTACATACAAATATTATTCACACACTGATCGATTTGTTTTTGTTTTAGTTTTTATATAGTAAACATTTAGTGCTCGATTCAGGTTTTATTTATTTATTTATTTTACCGTTGCATTTTTCACTGCCTCCTTAGCACACATTTTTCACACATTTTATTGTGCGCTGGCGGCCGCTGAGTGTACAATTTTCATTTGTTTATTTACTTGGCCATTTAAAGGCGGGTGATCCACATACAAATAGATGAGAGCACACACACACAAACAAATATGTGTGTACATAAATATGTGTGTATGTGTGTACATACAAATCCTTGGTTCACATATAAATTATGGCATTTTGGTTTTCATTATTATTAAATGACGACGGGGACCCCATTTATAAAACAATAAATCATAAATGCGATAATGCCCATTTATCAAATCGCTACCCACTAAAAATGTAGGTTGATAGAAGACACTGGAAATAAAAATCGTTTTGCTATTCTATAATATAAAATTCTTGAAACAAAATAATTCACTACGTCAAAAGAATTCTTTAAATATTCTCTGCTAGAAAATATAACATATGTTTATAAACCAAAGCAAGCCCAACAAATTTTAGTGTAAGACTTTCAGTAAGTAAAAAATCGTTATCCGTTTTGTTTAATGTATAAATAAAAACTTCTACAAAATATTACTTATTGCGTAATTTGTTCATTTTAATCACATTTTACATTGAGAATTAAAAACAAATAAACTTTTTATTGATTTACCCTCAACACATTTTTGTGAAACATTTTTCAAGTAAAGCATTATTTCAACCCATTACCAATACGTATATGAATTTTGAATAATTTGGATTTAGTAGATTCACTTTTAATTGGTTCGCAGTTTAGCAACTTTTCATAAACATTTTCCAAGCAATGCAAAATTCATTTCACGCTATTTCCAGCACACGCTTTAACACCAATTTGTATATGGATCGATCCGATGCACGAAATGCTCATAAAAGCGATTTGTCTAAACGCATCGACTAACCTATCCATCTATCTAGCTATCTATCTAGATATCTATCCATCGGACTGATCGGGATCTGTTTATTTAGGTGCTGTTCTCCCTTTGGCTGGCATGATCCATTTCTTGGTTAGATTTATCACAGTTTGCCCCTATTTGATTGGCATTCACTCAATTGATTTATATGGTATCATTTATTAGGCAGCGCTCGTTTCATACTACGAAATATCTATTGCTATTGATAGATAGACAATTTGTTTATGGCCAAAGCAAAAGTTTGAAAACAACGCGGTTTTACAGGCGCCCAGAAACGACAACGTCCGACTTTGACGATCGACTGTTTGGCGTTGGCTGGTTACTTATTAGTTAGTTTTTTTTTTTGTTAATCACTTGACATCGAAGAACGTCGAACTGAAATTGAAACTTGCTGATATGGCCAGAGTTTATTTTTGATGAATGCGCCAAACCGGTACACTGGGAAAAATAATATTGCCACTTTTGTCCAAAGTTTTATTTTGGTTATGTTTAAATTTCTACATTTTAAACTGCTTCGGTTTGAGTTGAGATTGTTCTTATTTTAAAACTGTTGTGTGCTTTGTGTGCTTGTGAGCTGACTACATTTTATTTGTTTTTCATAATTGTGAATATAAACCACGCTCTAAGGTTTTTGGGAAAACACATGCGAATACAAAACAAATGTATTGCTTTTATTAAAAAAACAATTCGATCCATGGCCACACATAGGAAATATATTTCAAGATTTATTAAGAATTTAGACAAGATACAAAAAAAATATATTTTGACAAGCCCAAGGAAACCCACTAAATATTAAGCATAATATATATAGGACTTTTGAAAATTATTATAGCAATATATACAGACTTCATATTCATAGAACTTATTTCATTTTTTTTTATCTAAGTCAAAAAAACCGTTAAAAGTGTATACCGCTTGTACTTTTATTTCGCTGAGCGTAAATACTGTCTGTAAATTCGTTTTTGCTGATATAGGCGACTTCTGTTACCTAATGCCACATCACGAACCCAATTGGGACTCCAATATTGCCATACATTCAAGAGGCGCATCCAAAACCAATGTGTGCAAACATTTTATTGTATTCTTAGATTAGTTTTCTGTTTTCTTCTCCTTTTTTTTGCTTTAGTTTATTTTTTTTTTATTTTTTTTTTATTATTATTTTTTTGTTGGTTTTGTTGTGTTCAACTAGCAATTGTTATTGCTGTTGTTTTTCACTAGGTAAATATTACTCGGCACATCGATCTGTGGAATCGGATTGTTTGTATGCGTCCGTACGATCGGCTGGCTATCAACAAACTACTGTAATACACGAATCGAACAAGTGTTACTACCCCTCTCGGAAGCGAGGTGCTCGCGTTGTCTCGTCCCGGCCCACCTCTCCTCATCTCACCTCGCCTCGTTGGGGAAAACAACAACTAAATAAATGTGTTGTTTTATAAGCAGTTTCGCTTATCGCATATCAATATAAATGCGTAAATATACAGTAGTCGATATAGTGAACCGATATCGTCCGCAGCTAAGTACACACACATAGCTGTACATAGTAACGGGGCACACACTCAACGATTGGGCTACGTCGAATACTAAGCTTTATCGCCTAAACTTTTCGAGTATGAGAGAGAGAGAGAGAAAGAGAGTTGATTGAGTTAGATTAAGAGAGTCTTGTAAATTTCGTATACTCTGTAAAAATTGTCGAATTGTTTATGTAACAGATGACAGAAGATATAGTAGTATTTACTCTATGCTTATTTATGTCCTTATACCTGACGGGCTAACCTCAAGGAACTCAAAGACCACTGACGCTGGAGTTGTCAAATTTGGTGAGTAGATAATATGCAGAGTCTGGAATACCATAAATATATCTTCCCAAATCCCTCAATTTGTTTTAAAGAATGATTTGCAATTTGGTAGATGAACACATTTGAAATGATATTCACATTTCAGAAGAATGGGGCAATAAGTACAGCGATATTCCGCCATATACCTTGCGTACAGATGTACTTACGGTATATACTAGTCAAGTATTCTCGACTAGAGCAACACCCTTAGTTTTTTTTTGTATTTGTATAGACGACCGTTCTTGTTATGATCGACACCCTCGTCATTTGTTTATTTTGGCTGCCTCTTCGGGCTCTCATATTTTTTTTAGTCCGTTAGTTATCAGGTTTCTGAAATTGTGGCCCTCTGTTGCCTTATCAATATACTGCCATATAATAATAAATAGCAGGGAGCCAAGCGGCAGCTTGACGGCAAAACCCGATGGCGTCTATAGATTGCTGCCAATGGCGACAACAACAATGCGAACAATTTGACCAGGCAGTTGAGTCCAATTCTCTCACCATTCCATTCATCGCACACTAGTCCAACAAATCCAAATTAATTCCCAATAGGCTAGACAAATATATATATATATATATAGCAACAGTACCGTTAGAGCCTCTGCACAATACTTTACCCAATTGATAAGTTTCAATGAGCATGTGAAATGATTAGAGCCTTATGTAGATAGATAGACTTTTGGTTGCATGATTAAATAAATAATATTTGTGGATGGGGAATTATGAACAATCCAATTTCCTATACATATAATCCAATCAATGCTTAAACATTTTATGTATAGTCTGTTGAACGGTTTCCGTTTCATATATACGCATTTCAAGAAAAGGACTTCATAAAAATATTAACAATTCAAATTTTACTTTTGCTTTATAAAAAAATTTACATTTATTGCAAGTTAGAGCGTTATACTTTATACCATAGATAAAAATACAGACAATACAAAGAGTGTTATAAATTTGTAGTTAAAGGTGGAATGCATTAAAGGGGATCCTGGATAATTCTGAACGATGTTAGTGTTACTACCTTAAATAGAGTTCAATTGTGTTTTATTCCATAGAATTGTATCTTATAGAACTGAACTGAATGATAATTCCATTAACCCTTTACTTGTGCTATTCAAACAAGAGAAAGCAGGTTTAACATGATAGGTTTTTAAGAACAGAAAACTATTTTTATATAAGTCATGTTGGGTTCTCTTTCCAATTTCGATCATCCCTAACCAGTACATACATGCACTCGTAAATATTCCACTCTACAAAGAATAAACACAATATGATATTCAGATTGCTTTTTTTTTTAGAACTTTACACTTACTTGTTAGAAGAAAAAACCACCCCTGTCTAGACTTCAGTACAATCCTTAAATGCACCTGTAGTTTAGCTCTAAAAGGAATAATCATAATGTGTAGCTGTGTTTATATTATTTGTCCAACTTTGATACTTACACTTCTCCTTTGCCTGCTGTTCCGTTGCTTGTTCTGTTGCTTGCTCCGCTAACAAATCCAACATGACTTCAATCTTTAGATTGCACATATTATTCTCCTCCTCCAAGGCACGAAATTTCTTATTCAAACGCAGCATATCATCAACATCCCCCTTTCTCGCCGAATGCATCCATATACCATCCGCAAATCGCAGCTCCTTGTTGCCCAAGCTCAAGGATATACTACGAAAATCCTCAATATCCTCATTGATAACGGGAAAACCAATGTTACAGCGGTTAATACGAGCTGGAATCGGTTTCGATTCGAATTTCTTGTTGAACAAAGGCATCTTGAATAGGAACTAAATAAATTGAGCACAACACTTGACCAAACAAAAATGGTACATACAAAACGTTACCAGGACAACGAGGGTTGTGGTCATAACAGTAAAATATACCTATATGTATATCTAAGCCTGCCGGAAGGCACTGTCAAAAATCTGTCTTATATTTTTTTAAGCTGTCAAATATAAATTTACTTGATGTACAAAAAAACGCAGTTTGTAGTTTGATTTTCTTTATTTTATTTTTATTTTGTTGTAAAAAAAACCCTTTAGAATGACTGAGGAGGCCAAAAGCTATGCGTTAACCAGGTCTAAACCAAAAATCACAACATACGGAATAAAAGTCATATACATTTTTAACTTTTCTCACTTTTGATCTTCAGCTCTGGTGCTGGGGACGTGGCTAGCTGTGTGGAGCGTTTGGTGCAGGAGACTAGCGAGGATCTGAGGAAGTGTCGCGTGGAGCAGTCGCAGCTCCGGTCGCAAATCACCGAAGTCATAAATGAGAATCAACATCTAACCGGCGAACTGGGCAAATACAAACAGACCATGAGCAATGAGGATTTAAAACAGCGTCTGCTCCTGACCAGCGATGCTCTAGCGAATGCAATTTCCCAAATAGATGTATTGCAAAAGGAACGACGTAGTTTCCAAGCGATGCAGGGATGCGCACAAAGGACTATCAAGAACATGGAGACGGAACTGCAGACATATCGGTCACAAATGCCTCTAGATAGTCACGAGCAGGTGAGTCAAAGAGTAGAGATGGAAGAAATTTGAATAAAGTATAATAAGTTTGTCATGCATAGAAGTCCTCGAGTACTCTTTGCTTTTAATATAATATTTACCTTATATATTTTAGATGACTGAAAAGCATAACAAAATAGTGAAAATGCTGGAGGCCAAGTTGACCAAACAGCAGGAAGCGATGCGCTCGCAATCGGATCTTATCAGGTCTCTCCACGAGAATAAGAAGCGCTATGCCGATCAGATTGAACAATTACAGGCCAAGCTGAAGGCACGTTATGCAGCCGCTCACGAAGATAGCGAGTCCAAGATTACGTATCTACAGCAGCAACTAAAAGAGAGCATTAAGCGTGAAATGGAGGCGATGCGTAAGGTTCAGGAGTCGCTGGGTATCAGCGAGGCAGCCGTGCTCGAGAAGGAGGGTGCTGAAAAACGTGCGGCAGCATACAAAGAGGAGACCAAAACACTGGCGGTCAACATTGGCAGCATCATGGAGGAAGCTGTTAAACGTGTAGACAATGAAGTGGCTCAACTCAGGGACAAACTGACCGAAAAGGATAAAACTATAGCGTCGCTGCGTGACAAGGTGAGGTGAACAGGTATTTATACACTAAAGTGAAACATAAATATCCAAGACCATAACTATGTAATTGCTTCTCGTCATATTTTCTGCGCCCATGCATTTTGAAAGATCTTGAAAAATGCTTTTGAAAATCAAACAGCTATTGTACGTTTTTCCATGGAGATCGGATTCTCCTCTTCATGTTTACTAATCATTCAGTCAGAAGAAGCTGTTTTATATCTGCTTATAAATAAATTTATATCTAAATATCTTTTGCACAGCTCAAAACTGAAGCTGTCGATCACAAGACAACAACGCAAACACTCGAAAGTCGCTACAATTGTCTTAAATCAAAATACAAAGAGACGCTTAAGCAGAATGAGAAACTCGAGATGCATGTGGAAGACTGCAAGAAGCGTCTTATGGAGCTGGAGCAGTGTGCCTACAATGATGAAGCAAATAGTTTGAAAATGTAATGACAAATAATGCAAATTACAGTACATAACTTTAGTATACAATTTAACCGATTTCCAGCAAAAAGGATTACGAGACGCAAATGGAGAACTATCTGCATAAATACAAAGATTTGAAAGCACACTACAAAGACGTTTTAGATGATCTGACTACGAAATTCGAGTGTGCCTATGAGAATGTTAACAAGGAGAAGTGCGAGCTGCAGGCCGAAAATGAGATGCTGAGATCAGCCGGCGTTGAAGGCGACGGCACAGATAAGTGTATATAACGTATATATATATATATATATTTTAAAGTTGCTAGATATATATGTGTACATATCTGTTAAAGTTTTGGGTGTCTATAATAAATACATGTACAATAAAAACAACTATGCAGCAACAAGCTGCGCATTGCGACCGGGAAATAAACTGGGAAACCAATAACTTGGTTCCTCATCTGTTTGTCTATCGATCCAACAGAGGCCCTCGCCCAATACTTTCTCCAATGCGCACTTAGTTCGATATTCTGTCCAGCTAAAAGAATTAAAAGAAACTCATTAAATATGAAGTTTTAAATCAACTTTAAGCTTACCCCAAATCGTTCATGAGTTGATTTTGAGTAACGCAGCCGGATTCTGTATTCGATGCTGCACTTAAAATATTGGTTTCCTCCATGCTCAGCTCGCCAGGAATGGATTGCACAATGTACTTGCCCTTTCCCAATTTATGTACCACGAAACTATTAATAAGGTGCGGGCTTGTAGCAGACTGCAGCGAATAAAGTGTAGTGAGGATTTGCCTTACCCGTTGCCAAAGATGTTCAATTTTTTCGTCGCCATTAGTATGTCCTCCTTTGTGATCTCCTGATGCATGGGACTCTGGCCACGTGCGGCAATCAAGCGACGACGCAGTTCATCCAGTTCCATTAGGCCGCCAGTTTTGTGATTCGCCGCCAGGCAGACGTCCACAACCTGTACACTTAATTCGTAGTAGAAATCACCCATGCCGAGCACACTCCAGAAACCTTTGCCCGTAGCCAAAGGATCAACGCCAATTGCAGCGCACATTTCCTGAAATTGTTTACGAAATTGCGAATTTTTGCGTATGTCATCCTTGTGTTTCATTGCAAACTCCTCTAGCTTGATCCGGAAGACATCCATTTGCTTGGTCATTTGCTCCAACTGGGATTCCTGAATGTCAGCGCCCTTATCCTTGTATTTTTCAGCAGCCAACTTTTGTTGCTGTATGGCACCCAGGCCAACACGGCGGCGCATTTTTAACGAAATCAATCTTATACTTATTATTTTACAAACACAAATCTTGGATCAGCTGTGAAATGAAACATAATAAATTGACTGTCTATCGAATTAGTGATATCGTTTTTTTTCGCGGTTCAGGTTCATTTGACAAATTGTTGATTTTGTTGCTGAAAAACTGCCAAGTAATGTTTTAAATAATTTTTTCTTAATTTTATCTTACCGTTTATATATTTATTACTTTTAAATCAGAAAATGCTTTTGAGAACATTGAAACTTTCGATAGTTGATAGGCAATAGCATAACTAGGTGGCAACTCCATGTTAATCATATTAGAAAAATAGAGAGAAAGAGAGAGCGAACCAGATGGTGAGCATTTGAGCGAGTTATGAGTTAGTGCTGATTTTGCTTCACTTTGTTCGCAACGGCTTAACGAATTAACATTTTCAAAAATTCGAATTCATGTAAATAAACCGCCACTCCGATACAATTGAAAGTAAATTCAATCGATAAGTGTCGTCCTAGCAGTCAAGAATCAATGTTATACACATCTCTAGTGCATTTTGCTTGTGCTTTTGCGCATTTTTTGCATTCGCATTCTTTTATTAATTTTCGTTTAATTTCTCAGCCCGAGAATTATTTCGCGTGTATTGAAAACAGCAAAAAAAATGCCGTCAGACCATTTGCATTTGTAATAAGCACAAATAATACAGCAAGAGCGATAGCAAAAACCACAACACCACACATTTTTGACAAAGGCCAACGTCCAGACGCAGGCAGGCGGACAGACAGACAGACGGAGTATCTATAACATAAACAACAACAATAGCACTGCCCCCCAGGAGGACATTCGCCCAAACTCAAGGTTACACATGAAAAATCCACATGCTGTGCGACTGCAGTTGCCGCGCACCGAACATGAATACACTATAAGCGGCTAAAAAAACAAAACAAAAACAAACATATTAGAAGAGAATTCCCGTGTGTAAGTTGCCTCGGTATGTTGTGCTTCGATTCGGAGAAGATGAACTGGTATTATCATGTCCTGGCACGTCGACCCTATCTGGTGGTCGTCTCCATTGCTGTGTACTGTGTCGCCTGCATCATTGTGGCGCTTATCTTGACCGAGCTGCCCGATTTCAGTGACCCCACCTTGGTTTGTATTACACCAAAAATACAGTAGTCACTCGCTAATTATAACTGCAAATATATCTGTAATTTGTGAACAATTTCGAGAGGTGTAATACAGTCGATTCGGACATACTATGCACAACCTATAGCAAAAATATAGATATACACTGTTCCAATAAGCGAGCGACTACTGTACCCTCAAAAAGTAAATATTTGTACGCATGCTCACACCTGCACACATACATATTGCAGGGTTTTGAGACACGCGGCAATGAAATTGGCAAACGTCTGACTGCCTGGCATAATCTGGACCAGGAAATCGATGGTAATGGTGCCTTATTCTCCAATCCGGCGGATCTGCTGCAAAAGCTGCAATTTGAGAAAATGCGCGGATTGCCGCGACATCAGCCGCGTCCCAATCATCGAAGGCACAAATACCAGCGACGGAAGCACAAAAACAACAAAAACGGTAATAATAAGCGCAATCGCAAGGATCACAAGAAGAACGAACACGACGACATCGCCTACCAGATGATGATGATCAACAGGCGACTGCGGGCGACAAAGAGTCCGCTAAGTGATAAATGGTTGGGCGACAGCGGCGTCTTTCGAGACTATGAGGTGACCAACGACAGCAGTCCCTCCTCGCTGCTGGAGCCAACGCACCGCAGCGAACATATCGAATATGGACACAATACCACCTTTGTGGATGAGGACCAGCATCGTGAGCGAGTCCAGACCAAGAAGAGTACCTGGCGCATGCTCAAACAGGCCGCGTTGCCCAAGAGCGGCTGGACGGATTCCAAATTGCGTCAGCCCATCGAGGGCTTTTTCTGTGATTCCTCGCCGCATAAGACATATTCACATTTTGTGGTCCAACGCATTGGACCGAATGCCACCGACTCGTTGTTCGATTTGAACGGCATGTTGGCCATGTGCCAGCTGCAGGAGCAGATTGGCTCTGTGCCCAACTATCAAGCATACTGTGAACCAGAGATGTTAACCTCCAATTGCTGTCGTCCATGGTCGCTGCCCAACTATGCCACCCTTCTGGCCAATAAGAGTTCCTGCTTCGATCTGTCCGCAGATGATGTGTCCATGCTGCAATCCTTGCTGCTCAGCTGCTACGAGTATTACCACTTTCTCAAGCTGGACATCAATTGCAATGAACTTAATCCCTGCTATGCGCCAGAGGAATGCACGCGCAATAATTTGGTCTTCAATGTGCTCAACTATCTCAGTGACTATGGTTTTATGAAGGCAAATGTGCGTTAAGACTCTACTCATTATTCATCTAAAAAATATTGTTTGTTCTACTAAAAATACTTATTTGTTGCAGGACTCGAACGTTTATTTGAAATATGCAATGATATTTGTGCCTGTGGCACGCTCCAATCGCATCCTACCGCTTTTTCATGAATGGGAACACGTGTAAGTTGGAACGCATTGTATGAATCTAATATCTGCGCAGAGTATAGCGATCAATGGGTCCTGTGGGCATTTTACCATCCTTAGCGGTCATTAAAGCTGGCACACAGATCTCCTCAAAGTAGGTGGACAGCTCATATTTGCGGAAGATTTTGCGCATATTTTCAGCAAATTTGTCCATGGATAAATCTTTGGGTGCCGGGCCACGATATAAATTAGCACCAAATTTATTGAGTTCCTGCAAACGATTGTAATAATTGCCATAGGTGGTCTGAATATCCTGTGATGTACAATTGGGATCATCGATATCGGTTTTAATCGTTTTCTGACTGTTAAGCGAAACATATTCATTTGGTGAGTAATCGGATCCGTAGACAGTCTTACGCAAATCTCTCAAAAAATCTTCAATTTGATCGTAGCGCACCGGAGGACTCTCAAAGAAGAGTTTATAGATATTCTCGTTGCACCACTTGGTGCGCAGCAGGAACTGCTTATATTCCTCCCGCCAATCCATGGCATACGGCCAGGTGCGCGTCTTCTCCTCCACTGAGTTCACCTTCAAATTATTCGCATAATGGCCAGAGATCAGTGCCCCATCGGTTTGATATTTAAATATCTTCTTTGGCTTAAATGTACGACCACCACCCATATGATCCACAAAGTCCTTTTTAGTCACAGTTTTCTTTTTTAAGCATGCCGGCAACAGCTCGCCCACATCAGTGAGTGCCAAGCGTTCGCTAGGCGTCTTCGATTCCTGCTCGGCGACTTCAGTCATTTCAAGAATAGTTCTTATCTACTTTTAATCTGTTAATATTTAATTTAAATTTATAATTTTTGTGCTCTGCGTTATTTCTGACAAATGAGGAATATGAATGTTGACAAAATCTCAAAACGATGACGAAAGTGAATTATGAAAATTTAACAAACGAAATTTGAAATCAATCAAAAAGAGTATTTTAGTCTAGACATCTAAAATAAATTAAGCAAATTTACTTTGAAAATGTTCAATTCTCTGATCATATGTTACCGATTTTAATCCCAATGGTCAAGGTTTACTCTCTGTATTCGATTGTGATTTTTGTCTTAGTTAACTTCTAGTTTCTATATGCGCATAACTTTTGTTACTACTGAAAAATATTTACTAACGTTAAATTGTATTTGTTGACTTGATTTCCAGCAAGCTGAGCAATGAACTGGTCGAAGTCGTAGCCATGGATTTGGGTCTGGAAAATGAGCTTTTCAGCGAACTGCTACTCACGGACGTTTGGCTCGTCTCCCTCGGCGGGCTGTTTGTGATGGCTTGTGTTTGGCTATACACCGGATCCGTGTTTATCACCTTGATGTCCTGCTGTGCCATTTGTTTCTCCTTGGGATTGGCATACTTTATCTACACACTGGTCTTTGAGTTTAGCTTTTTCCCATATATGAATCTACTTGCCGTCGTTGTAATAATTGGCATTGGTGCCGATGATGTATTCCTCTTCCTCAAGATCTGGCAGTGTGTGCTGGCCGAGCGTTTCAGCAAGAGCAGCACATTGAATACACAATCAACGCTTCCGACTCCGTTAGAGCACAATGAGCATACGGAAACATTGGAGAATCTAATGGCACTAACCATGCGGCATGCGGCGGCATCGATGTTTGTTACCTCGGTGACCACAGCGGGTGCATTTTATGCCTCCTACAGCAGCTCAATAACGGCCATCAAGTGCTTTGGGTAAGTTTTATTCATCACATGAAAATTATTTCGAGTCTAACTAAATGTTTGTGATTTTTTGAAGCATTTTTGCTGGCACCGTTGTGGTCACAAACTATTTGCTCATGGTCACCTGGCTGCCGGCGTCGGTTTCAATTATGGAGCGTCTGTTTGCCAGCCGCATGTCCTGTCAGCAGCATGTGGCACAGAAATTGATCAACGCCTGCCAGAAGTCAATTAATCGATTTTGCGAACTTTTCGAGGAGCGCATAACGCAATGTATTATGAACTATGCCTACTTGTGGCTAATAATCTTTGCCATTCTGGGTATATCCAGTGCAATTATTGTGTTCTGGTATCCGGGCCTGCAGCTGCCAGAGAAACCACATTTCCAACTCTTCGTCTCGCATCATCCCTTTGAGGTGTACACGAAGCTACGGCATCAGTTTTGGTTCGAGAAGCCGCTGCAGGGAATTGAGAATTCTAATATGAGCATGCGTTTCGTTTGGGGCGTGCAAGCATTGGATGATGGCGACTACACGAATCCGCACTCGTACGGCAACCTGCACTATGACAATAATTTTAATATATCAAGCAGGTCGGCACAAGTCTGGTTGCGCAACTTTTGCCAAAATATGCGACAGCAGCCATTTTATCAGCCCTCATTCGGCTTTCTGTTGCCAAATTGTTTCATTGAGAACTTTATAGGATACATGGAACGAAGGTAAGTACTGTTTTTTATACTTATTAATACTTGTTAACTGATTTTACTGTTTTGCAGATGCATTGATGACATGGACACAACGAGCGCAGATCGTACGCCCTGCTGCGAGGCTCAGTTCCCTTACGAGCCTCACATATTTGAGCAGTGTTTGCCACAATGCATCTCCAATTTGTGTGAGACAAGGTTTTATCAGCCGGGCAAAGCTGGTCCCAAATTCGCGGCGGCAACCAGTCGCCTCGATGAGTATGTGGATGGCGGCAGTAACGAGAGCTTAAGCTCGGAGTCAACAGCTACTCAACTGCTCGTCAAGGCGTTGATTATTGAGTTCGATTCGAATGTTAGCTATAGTACACTCTATGCGAACATGAAGGCGTTTTATGAGAGCGTTGAGAGCTGGTTTCAACAGCAGTTGAGCACGGCACCCGAGGAGTTGCGTGACGGTTGGTTTATCAGCGATTTGAATTTCTACAATGTGCAGGACTCGCTGTCGCATGACACACTCCTTGCCATTGTTTTAGCCATGGCTGCGTCGCTTGTGGTGCTCCTGTGCTTCACCCTCAACTTGATCATTTCGGTTTATGCCGTCATTACCGTCTCGTTGACTATTTTCAATACCGTTGCTGTACTCATTCTACTCGGCTGGCAACTGAATATTCTGGAGAGCATTGCGGTATCGACGGCCATTGGCTTGGCGATGGATTTCAGTTTGAACTATGGCAGTCATTATCGTCTGTCGCCGTCGAAGGAGCGCATTGCAGCCACCCAGTTTGTCTTGTCTCGCATCATTGGACCGACGGTTATGGCAGCAGCAACAACTGGCTTTGCTGGTGGCATTATGATGGCATCAAATATATTGCCCTACATACAGATTGGTGTCTTTCTCGTCGTGGTCATGGTCACTAGCTGGCTGTATGCCACATTCTTTCTGATGAGCCTTCTCAAAGTCGCCGGGCCGCAGTACGGTTTCATGCAACTCAGTTGGCCGGCATGGCGCAAGCGACGCACGGCAAAGGCAAATAAATTCTACGAACGGTAAGCTTACTTATACTATATGCCTATGAATAAAGTTGAATTTATGTATGAAACAAGCTTGTGATTATGGAGAAGGAGTACTACATCTCATGTATGCAATAATTTTGAAAGAAGCTCAACTATATTTATCATATATTTATATTTATTATTCAATTCGAACTCATAATTTCAATATCTTACAGCAAACCGAGTCAAATAATTGCCACTGAACAGCTGCTAACGCCCACCAGCTCCGCCATTGTCGAGATGGCCAATTCGGAAACACATGAACTGGAATCCCTGAATTCGAGCAACCAGATAAAAACCATTTCCGGCACAGAAAGTGGACATGCGCTGCCAACGCTGCCCAATGACTTTGAGCACTCATTTCAGTCGCCGCACTAGTGCCAAATTATCAAAACGGAACGATTCGCCAAAAAAAAACTGGAATAATAGAGATCTACTTGCTTGCCTCGTCGAGAGGGCTCAAGAATTTGCATTTTTTTATACAAAGAGCTTCAAGGCAACTGATGCTTGATGCCCCATATGTATTCAATTGTGTGTTATTACACAGTTCTATATTGATATACCGTATAGATAGTCGTATGTGCAACTACTTTGTTAGTATTAAGCATAGCTCAAAGAGCCAACAAGTGTGCACAAAATATTTGCTACATTTTACACATTGTAAAAGAGTGCAAGATTACAGAAGATGTAATTCTCTTTAGGGTATGGAAATATTTGTGCCAACTGGTTGAGTTTTTGAACTACTCTTTAGTGTGCTATTTCAAAAAGACTTCAAACAGTTGCAATGCGCTTTTTTACTTAGTTGTTGTTAACGTTTGAGCCAAGAAATGAGCTCGATATTTTTGTTTTATTTTTGGAAACTGAAGCAATTAGCGGAAGAGTACTGGGTACGTCCATAACTGTACGACTGTATGATGTCGGTATTATTAGTTTTTAGTTCAGAAACAACAACAAAAAAAAAAAAACATGACACTGTTTATGTATATTTACGTAACTTACCTGTAATCACAAACAAATAACTATTTATACTCTGAATTTTTATTAGCTGTTAACGCCAGCCGTCAATGTTGAAGCCGGCCATTATAGAATATATGTATTAATGTATATGCAGTTATCATATATGATAACACACCCACACACACAAACACACACGCCCAAAAAACGTCTACTATATTTAATGTACATTGATGTACTTAATGTGTTGTCTATCCTAGTTAGTTATAAATGTTCAAAACACAAACAAACACACGCAACACACTCACGTTTGTAATAACCATGTAACTGTGATACAGAAGGTGACAAATTGAATTAATACAAATTCTATGTTTATACAGACAATGAGAGCTAAAAACAAAAAACTTAGAACAAAAATTAATGACGTATTGTACTTAACTACAACTGAATACCTTGTACTTCCTTCATTGAACTTACAAAAATGTGTTGAAGTGATTTAATAAATGTTACTTGTAAAACAATTAAACAAAATATTCAAATTGTTGGGTTTTTTCAATATTAAATACCAGCAATATTAGACGACGAAGTTTTTATGAAACAATTGAAACAACAATTTTGGAATTACTTAAATTATTTATATTTTAATTCTCAACTATGTATCTCAATATATAATAGGTGCTAGCAATTTACGAAATTGTGTTTCCTGCTGCACATTTAGTATGCATTAAGAGAATGAGGAATTTTTGACCCAAACTACACAAATCAAACTAGGGGCTAAAAGCTGCAGAGTTTTCAAATCCGCTTATAAGTATTCAACGATATCGCATTTTATGGATATATTCGGACAGCTCTGGCCAACGACACTGCGGCCACGATAGTTGGGACTCTTTTCGGTCAGAAGCTTGCGGAATATGGGCAATATGGCTGTCTCGCCTTCGATCAGTTCCGTCTCGGAGCTGGCGCCATAAATGGAATGATCGGTTTTGTTGCGATGCTTCCTCTGTTTATCCGGCGCCACATTCGGCGAACTGTGATGATGTGCCGCATGTTGAATGTTCGAGTTGCGCGTAAATTTGCGTGGCTGTGTGCACTGCTGTTGCACAGTCGGTGTTGGCTCCCTTTCCCGCTCGCTGTCCGTCTCGCTCTGGCAGACGGTGCCTTTCTGCGGCTTCGGTCGATGCTTGTTGCGATTCTTCTCGGAGACGGAGCGCTGTATGGGCGAGGTGGTGCTCTGCTCATAGGACATCACGTGTCCATGCTCCGAGCAGCGCTGCGGACTCGCGTAGGTGCGCTGCGATTGCCTCGAGTGCTGCTTGGCGTGGGAAAGCGTGTGTGTGTCCCACAGGTCACTTTGCGACACAACAAAGTTCGACTTGAGAGCGGAGCCCATGCTCGTGCGACGATGGTCCGAGGCAGTGGGTGCTGAAAGGAAAAGGGAGAATCAGAGCCACTTATATCTGCAAGCTAGTTGGTGTATATTAAATCTGAATCATCAGAGCCCACTTCAAATTAACCTCTTTTTGTATATGCTACAAAAGTTGGCTATTTTTGCTGTGCTTAGATTAACAATGAGTACTACGGTCAATCACTCAATCAGTTTGTATATTGATAGGAAATTATAGTTACTTTTCATTAGTCCTGGCGTTCCAGGCTTGCTGTGCGGACAAACGTTGCTCAGCTCCGATTGTGAGGTGGATATATTCGTGGATGAGTTGCGATGTGTGCTGCTGTACTTTGGCTTCGCAGTGGGCGTCTGACTGCCGCTGTCATAGTGCCTGGAGGCAGTTGATTGTCGTCGCTCCCTCATTGCAACACAGTCGCTTGGGGTACGTTTTCCGGCACTGCTCGTAATGCTACCAATATTGGCATCAGTTTGGGCCGATACCGAATTGCGCTTTTCCAAATGTCGATGATGTTGATGTTGCTGCTGCTGCTGCTGCTGCTGCAGTTGTTGCTGCTGTTGTTGCTGCTGCTGCTGTTGTTGTTGCTGTTGCATTTGTTGTTGCTGCTGCAGATGCTGCTGGAGTTGCTGCTGTATGGGTTGCATCAAGGCAGGCGCATGATGCTCCACAATTGACTGTTTCTTCTTTTTGCTGTGGAGTTAAAATGTTTTTGTTTTTGTTTATGGATTTTATATATATAATCAATATGTATAAAGTTGCTTCTACTCACGGTGGCAATGAGGGCGCTACAGTTGTGGACTGCACGGAGACAAATGAATTGTCCATTTCGACATGGGTGGAGGTGATGCTATCGACGGATGTCAGCTCGGTAACTTCTAAGTGCAAGCAGTGAGCAAATGAGGAATATGTCCAGCTCAAAATGAATTAATTTACACACACCTGTGGTGCTGGGCATCTCTCGTCGAACTGGTGGCGCCGATAGTCTTGCCTTGTCCTCGCTCAGTATGGGCTCCATGTCGGTGGTGGCACCTGTACAAGTAACACCATCGATCCACTTACGCGCCTCCGGTCCCAGCTTACGGATCAGCGCCTGCAGCTCGTTCTCCTTCTCCATCAGCGCTTTGCGGAAGCGACAATTGGTATTCTTCACATCCCGCAATCGCTGCTCCAGCTCACAAACCGATGAATCCCGACGATTCTTGGACATGGGACGCAGAGTGGCTCTCACTCGCTTGTCCACCACGCCCTGCGGATTGCGTTTCAATTCGACGAGCTACAAATTGATGGAGGACACCGATTAGATTAGTTAGCTGCGAGAGCAATCCAATTTTCACAGCAAGGATAGACTTTTTCAAGGTTAACTGTAAGAGTTGTCCAAATAGAACAGAGTTTATATAGCAGCAATGTCATATATTGGAAATCTTTCATAAGACTAGTAATATCCAAGTTAGTAAAAACTGATAAATATTCTTTGAATGAGAAACTAAAATGATAAAATAAAAAAAAATTAAAATCTGTTATTTCATTTTAGAGGCATTTTAAAAGATTTTGAAAATTAGAAAACATAAAAACCAAACAACACAAAAATGAAGATACGCTTACATTAATCTAATCTACTGTCGAAAATTATGAATTTATTTTTTGGACACTCTTATTTCAGAAAGTTCTCGTTTTGATAGGACAACACTATATGATCTTAAGTTGTTCAGGGATTTGAATATTTACTGCATTGCTGCTATATATAAAAGAGTATGTGGATAGGACATTTAAAAGTAGTTAGTATGTAGTGTTATGTAGCATTCAAAGTTTAGAATTTAGAAATACAGTAATTTTTTTTTGTTTTGTTTTGTTTGTTTTGTGCGTAAAGAGTAGCGCTAAATGAAAGGCTGAACATTTTGAATGTCGTCCATTTCATTTTTGATTTTTGAAGGCATTCGAAATGATCAAGCGAATATTGTTAACAACATTTATAATACATATATGTACTCGTATGTATGTTTGGTAAAAAAGTACTATACGACTATATATATATTAAAACAGCTACAAAAACTACAAAACTTCCTTACTACCAGTCTTACTTTCGGTACGAACACCAAACACAAAGTGGCTGTCGTACAAAAAATGATAAAAAACGAGAGTAAGACAAAAACTAAATCTTTGCGATCCGATAAGACCAGCGATATCGCAGCGCCGGCAATGCAAGTAATGAACACATTATAAACGGAGAAACCAATATGCTTGGAGTCATTTAGGGCTGGTATCGAGACATGCCGGGTTTCCCAGGCCAAGAAGGCACCAAAAACCTATGAGTAGATCATTATTAATAAATTAATAATTGAAAAAAAAAATTAATAAGTATACGCACCAGTAGCAAGCCCTTATATGCATAGATAATGCTAACAAATATTGTCATGTGCTCCGATTGGCAATACTCATTCTCGGGTATAACCAGCACATCATCTATATTCTCGTGGTGCTGCAAAAATAGTATATATATAATAGATTTACAAATTACAGACAATTTTAAGATACACAAGTTCTCATTAAGTTAACTGATATACTCAAAACAACTTATCCATCAAATTTAGGAAAAGGTTTTTCTTGTTTTTGGAAATAATTCATAAATATACTAAAACAGATTTCTTCAAATTAAAATGGTCTTTTCCAGACCCCGGTTTTTAGAAATCCGATTTCTCAATATTAATTTTGTTTCTGGCTGTACTTACTTTTGGTTCTAGCTGCTTAGTCTCACGATAGAATGGATCGGCTATTTGCCAGGTGGTTATAATCGCTATGTCAATGAACAGCAGAACGCCCACAACCATAAACAGTTGATAGTCCTTGATCACCTTCTTGTTGAGCTTCAAGTCTGTAAAGATGGAATGGACGCGCCACGTTTTCGAGAACATGGCGCCAAATGCCAAACTAAATCCAGCCATTAAAATCCAAGCACGGGCTGTGCAAATATACGGAAAAGCAGCCACACTACTCAAGGTGGTATCCAGGCCAAGGAATATGATGCTCAGATAGGTCAGCATGCAGCCGACGATGATCAAATTGTTCAAATGCGGACTAGACATCTTGATGTAGCTGCAAAAAATACCGATCGATTTTAGAATTAATTTTATGAATATACAAAATGGAAATCTTAAGAGTTAAAAGTTTAAAATTATATTCCTTTAATATTTAAATTTTGAAAAACGTTCGTCTCACCGTTGATTGCGATACTTGATGTTGAAGGCGAGAAAAACGGTGGCAATAATCACGCCAATAACTGAGGCGCTTGCCGACACAATGTATATGGTTGGATTAACCTGACTGTGCTCGATGTAGATGACCGTGCGATCCTTTGGAGGCGTTTTACCCACCCAACGCACCGGCTTGCCCAGTGTCATGTCCAGATGCGCCTGCTGCGAATGGTATTCCCCAATCTTCTCCATTTGACCCAATTGTAGTTGGGTAATCAAAATGTTCGCCTTGCGCTCATTATTATAGAAGCGAACAGGACCCTGAAGCACAAATAGTTTACTTAGATAGATAACTGGCAGTTGTCGGATGCGATTACTTACCGTTACGCCCTCGAAGGAGGTATTGCGCAATGCCTCGAGGAATATGTTTTCCCAATCCTTGACACGATAATCAAAGTGTGTGAGCAAATCCTCACGTTTCTCCGCCACATACTGTATGGCCAAGGCGGCGGCCCAGATCCCATCGTAGGTGTATCCATGGAAGCGAGAGTATTCTGTGCCACGCAATCTATCATACTCAATCAGATACTCATCCGCAGTAATGCCGGCAACCGTAATGTCTCCACTCGTCGACAGGGGCAACAGATCCACCAATATGGCACCCTCCAGCGCCGTGGCGATCTCCTTGACACTGCACTCGCTGTCCTGGGTGATGTTCCACCAATCCGTTGTATATGTGGCCATAATCAGCCACTGATAGGCACGTCCATACATCTGCAATCTGAAATATAGCCGAAGATTTGTATGATGTCATAGAATACGGGGATAGTAGTTTTTTTTAGTCACAACACTCACTTGAATGCCTCGCAAAAGACTTTTCGCGCAAAGTGCTCATTGAAATTGCCCAAAATGATGCGCACATCCTTTTCGCGTAGCTTCTTCAGCGACTCGGCGACATCGTTGACAAAACTCTGAGTCTCCACAACCTCCAGTTCCATGGAATCTAGATCGGCTACCATATGGTTGTGTGGTAACGAATAACGTGGCTCATTCTGATAGACGGTGCCCACCCGGGTCCAATTGAACTCCTTGAGAAGCGCCAAGCGTGGCGCATTAAATGCATTCTCCGAGGGCACAACGCGAAAGAAATTGGGGAACGCATCCTTGGTGAACATGGGATGAGTGTCCGCATAGCTCAGCTGGGTCAGATGCCAATGCTTACTGGCCTTCGCTATAGGATCGGTGACGTGGGTGCAGGCGGCGCCAAAGAGCATTACCTTGTTGGGACCCGAGTGCATCATGTCGAAAAAGGATTTGACACCAACAGCAGCATTGCACTGGGAGTGGAATAAAAAGACATATTATGCTTCATTTAAATTTGGTTCTTAAGATGCACTTTATATTTGCATTGATTTCTATTTATACATAAGCACCCTAGAATTTTGAAATTATATTTGCCCAAAATTCGATCAGTATATTTATAGTATGATACCCCAAATCGAAATACCTCATGGTGTAAATCGATAAAAACCATATATCTCACACAATTTGAAAGGCATATTGCTAGTACCACCCTTCAAAAAACCAGAAATAAATTTGGATCCTTTTCCGATCCCAATAACTATAAAAGCTTATATTCTACGTCAACTCACACCTCAAAAATTCCCAAAAGCCCATATCTCTTGCAATTCAAAAGCTAAAGCTACCAAACAACCAAACCACTCCCAATCCCGCCCACAAACGCAATTTTAAATGCAAACTTGGAGTAAATATTTCTAAGAATTAAAATTAGAGATCGGTATTTCTTGGCTACACACCCCGGGCAACTGTTCTTAGATGACATTACTTTTTAATGACAGAGTATTTCGCAATCGGTTTGGCCCGACTATAACGTTCTCTTTTTATTTTATTCTGAGTATATCGAACCAACCTGAGTATCATTCCACCACATGTGCAGCCTGTAGTTGGTGAGGATCTGTGGATGCTCGTTAACATGTCCCAGCGCCAACTTAACACTTGGCATTACTCCGCGGCCTGTGTAGGAGTTCTCCACTCCATCACCATAAGGAAAGAAGCCCGCTATATAGACATCGGAGCGTTTGGCAGTTCTACATTGAACGCGACTCAAGCACAGGAGAAAATAGAGGAGCAGTGACAGGGCCATGTGTAGATGGGACATCATATTGTTGGGTGTGCGGGAGCTGCAAAGGAATTACCATTATTTCGAATTATAATATCGATAATAGTATTAATTATTCACTTATATAACCTTGTAGAGTGTATTATAACTTTGTCGTTTCCCAATTAGCAATAAAAATAGATTACAACATTTTCAAGAAGTATTTTCGGGTATGTTCATATAGGCTATACCCATAGGCTCCACACTCAGAATATTCAGCGTCTTGGTTTGAATACGTAAACGTATTTGACTTATCGCTGGTAAAAATATAAGTTCAGGCTGTCATTTTTACTATTTTATTATTATTTCATAATATTTTATCTATCTTCGTATATAAATTTGACAACGAAAATTGCAGCTTATACCAAAAAAAATGAGTACTATAAAAATCGACTCCGGAACGAAGGGGACCAATAATAATAAGTTTACTTTACAGCAGATATAATAGATGTATGTACTTTTACAAGGATATATACTGATATGTACATATACATATGTATGTGATTTATGAAAACCTCGACGACTAAGGCCATAGTCAAAGCCAGCCACAAATGACAATAACAAATTGTTTCAAGGTGCCGCTGCGAACATTAGTCGTACATGTCTATGCATGTCACATTCAAATTCACACACATGCGATTGTGTATGTCCGTGTGTGTGCATATGTGTGTATCCTTGATATATATATACATATGTATATTTAAATGTATATATGTATGTACATATGAACCTATCTATGTGTCCGAAAAGTTATTGCAATTATATTTTTGCAGCTTCCAGAATAATATTTAATTAAAAAACGTTGTTTAATTGAAGTAATAAAATATTTTAAGTCCACACACACACAATTATACATATTTCACTACATTTTTTGGTTGTGTTTTTGTTGGGCATAAATTCAGGATATTCCTCCACTTTTTACTTTGAACAAAACCTACCCGCAGTCTTTTGTTGGGTGCACAATTTATTTAATAACTAAATTCATATTTATATAGTTTTATTTGAGTTTTTATTCAGCTTTCGTTTCGTATCGTTTGGCAGTTGCGAAGGTCCGAAAAATTGTGTATCCTTGCAAGTTGACAGCTCGAATTGACAGCAGCCAAAGAACCTGTTAATGCGCATGTGCTGAAAATTGACAGTCCACGTTTTGGGCTCGAATTCGCATTGTCAACAACGGCTAGAAAATGATAAACAAAAAGGCAACAGTTGGTTATCGGCGAGGTACTTTGTTTTGCTAGACACTTTCGTAGGACGACGGCTGATTGGCTGTTGTTATGACCGTTGCCAAGGACAACGGCAAACACATAAAAAATTCTTGAAGGTAGCAGAGCTGCAGTCAGTTATCAAAATAAAATGGAGGACTATGCTCCAAGTCGCTATAAAATGCAGGATAAAATCGGTGAAGGTGTCCACGGTTGCGTATTCAAGGCCATCGATTTGCAGCGCAACATGGAGGTGGCAATCAAAAAGGTGGCACTGAAAAACAAATTTGGCAATATTTCACTAAATACGCTGCGCGAGATTAAAACGCTACAACTATGCAATTCGGAATATGTAAGTTTTAGGGTTGGATGTGAATTGGAAACCGATTCCGATTGAAACACGCTACTAACTTATAGTAACACAAGAAGTATTGGCTAATAAATCGAAACCGATTCCGATTGAGACAGATTCCTAACCTAAACATTCGCAAGAAAGATTAGTTCCTATTATAAAAAAAAACAGGAGGATTGGGTAATAAATCTATGAGACACATTCCTATCGTAAATAAAAGCAAAAACATTCGATAGCATTCTCATGCCCAACCCATTCGTAGTTTATTCGGAGTTTCCAACTTCAAGCATTTCTCTAATTTCCTTTACAGATCTTAAACATACTTGAGATATATCCCGATCTGACGGGTCTTTCGCTGGTGCTGGAATACATGCCAGATACTCTCTACAGCCGGCTCAAGAGCGAAATGAATCCGTTGAGTCGCCAGCAGGTGCGCAAATACTCACTGATGATGTTTAAGGGCATGGCCTACCTGCATGAGGCCGGCATTATGCATAGGGATATTAAGCCAGCCAATTTGTTAATTAGTCAGACGGATGTCCTGAAAATTGCCGACTTTGGTTTGGCGCGTCTCTATTTTCCCGATGAGGAGGCGCGGCTGTATTCACCACAGGTTTCCACGCGCTGGTATCGTGCTCCGGAAATCCTCTGGGGCAGTCAAAAATATGGAACGGCCGTTGACTTATGGGCCTGTGGCAATGTCCTGGCCGAGATGCTGCGTGGAGTGCCGCTTTTTGCGGGCACCACAGACATCGAACAACTGGCGATTATAATTCGCACCTTGGGCAGTCCACGCTTGAATGAATGGCCTGAACTGACGGCGCTGCCGGATTACAGTAAAATTAGGTAAGGTCGTTCATGAATTACTTATAAGTTAAATGGTTCTTTAGCCTATCAATAATCCTGTTCTATCATTTAGATTTCCCAATTCCGTTGGCATACATTGGGATAATTTATTTCCCAGTTGCACGCATGCTGTCGAAATTGATCTGGTGTCAAATTTGGTCGTTTACAATCCGAAGAATCGTCTTAAAGCCACCGAGGTGAGTCGCTATACAATGTAATATTTTTTCCATTTATGGAACTTAATTTTTACTTTTCTATTTGCAGGCCGTTGAGCATAGTTATTTTAATTAATTTTAAGTATTTTTTATTTATAGAAATATGTTGACTAGCAGCTAAAGTTATGCATTTAGGAGTTCTCCGATTCTTTGTATCTGTTAAGTAGAAATAAATGTAGTTAAACAGAGTTATAATTGATATATTTAATATATGTTTAGCTTACTTGCATTTTAGGCAGGTGAAGAATACAGTTTGACCTTCATCCGCTGAACGTAATTGTAAAGTTGCATAGGACATTTTTTCGTGTCCACATTTGGGGCACTTGCGCTCCACAACCGGGCCGTCTGCCTCCGTTTCAGACTCCCGATGCACCTTCTTGTTGAGCTCACTTGGATCGTAGCTGTTAAAGTTTATTGTATATTCGGATTTCTCACCGATGTAAACTATATTTAAAAAAAGGCACTTTTAGAAGCGGCAAATAGTGGATATTTGAATAGTTTACCATCTGGTGAGAACTCCTGTTTGCAGTTGAAGCAAAAGACATTGCCTTTCACTTGCAGAGGTGGCAAAATTGAGCCACAGGACGGACAAAATCCGGCTCGATTATTAAAAATATCCATGCCAAAATCAAAACAAATTTCGTATCGCACGTGCAAGCCGACCAGTGCTGTAAAGCGAAAGTTTTCTACTTCTGCATAGCAGTTAGTATTTTGAGCGAGACACTTGAAACATGAAAGTGAATAAAAGTTCGTTAGGTTTATTTATTGGCGCCTTTTTTATTTTTATGCAAAATGTATTATGATATATATAAATAGCAACGATCTTTTTGTTTGCATTGCCACAACTACAGTCAATTCGAAATAATTCAAAAATGTTAAATCTTTACAAGTAATTTACTTATGCATAGCTATCAGTTTTTTATATGTGACAAGACCTTCAGTTACTTATGCACAGCTATCAGCTTTTTGTATGCGATAATTATTTATGCATAGCTATCAGCTTTTTGTAGAAGACAAGAAATTTATTTGAAATAAATTTCAATTTTGGTTTGCCACAATTTATTTATTTAGTACATCAATTTGAGGCTTGGTTTACATAACAAATTATTTGTCCGCTTTTTTAACCTGAGCTGTGGCAGTTTCCTCAGCCTCACTGCCCGTTGTCTCCTCATCCTCCTCGCTCTCATCTTCATCATCCTCATCATCGTCATCCTCCTCATCATCATCATCATCATCTTCATCATCTCCGTAGGTGTAACCAGAGCTGCTACTGGCTCCATAGCCACCATAGTAGCCCCCATATCCGCCGCCCTCCTCGTCATCGCTGCCCATTCCCTGCTGCTGTCGCCCAAATTTGTGGGAGCGTGTGGACATGCTCAGATCCTTGGTAACAGAGGTGTCATAGTTGCACTTGGGACACGGTATCGCCTTGTTCTTCTCATACTTGAAACCTTTGCGACGCACATGATCCTCGCAGTAACAGGTCTTGCAGCGCAGACACGAATATTGCCCCAGGCGATTGCAGGATTGGCATTTGTAGTTCTCCGATTCCAGCACCTGACACGATGCCTGATGCTCGAATTGATCGTCTTCGCAAAGGAACCCGTTGCAAAAGGAGCACTTGAAGATTCTGCCACCATGCTCCCACACTCCTCGCTCACACTCCAAACACACCGCATTCTGCAGGGGGCAGGTGCAGGCATGCGAAGTGAGACACTTGCGGCCGTGGCAGACCCACGCCTCGCAGTAGTCACAGATGGCGCCCACCATACCAGGGAAGCCGGTGGTGTAGACGCCTGGATGCTTGATCACACAATCGCCGGTCTTCAGCATGCATTTGATTTTGCCACATTGCGCACAAATCGGTAAACGTTGAACGCTCTGGCAAAAGTAGCAGAAGGCACGCGATTTCTGCTTCTTCTCGCACTTGTCGCAATCCATGGGCGCATTGCACGGCAGCTCGGCGAGGGGCACCTCGCGTCCCCTTATCTCCTTTAAGCGTAACTTTTGCTTTTCAGCCTTCTTTCGCTGCCCGGTTTTCTTTTTCGGCATCTTACAAAAAACTAAAATGAACTTAATCTCTTAAGCTCCGTACGGTGCTCAGACTAGTGTTGAACAATTATCAGTTTCTATTTGAACATAAATATAAATAAATCGAAATCACATACAATTTTACTCAGTCAAATATATGAAAATATAATTTTAGTTTGTGTGGAATAAAATAAAACAAATACGAGGCAGCCTTAATTCCATTCATCAAAACAGACTCTGTTTTTGAACAGCGTACTTGTCAGAGCAACCCTGGGCGGAGCACTTACACAGCACTGCTTTTAAGGTATTTTGACGTTTTCGATATTGAGCACACCGTCTAGCATTACGTGCAATTTTCACTTCTCAACTCTAGTGAGTGGAACGTATGTGAGCTGTGTCGTGTTAAAAAAAAAAAGGAAATAAAAAATAAGTGAAGCTTGCAAGACCAACAACTTGAAAATAATATAAGTAAAATAAAAATAAATTGAAATGGGCGGTCACAACGATCAAAATGGCAACTCCAATGGCCAGCACGATGATGTAAGTACGAAAAGAAAAATAATTTCTTATGTGTATACGTGTGTGACTTGTGTGAGCATGTATGCGTGTGCAAAGGGTAGACACGCGTCTGTGCCTCCGACCGCCATTTTGAAATTGAAAATTTTTCTTAATGTGCGTCAGCCAGCGAGGGATTTTAGGTTATGTATTGCCTAAAATGAAAAATTGTAAAATATGTGAATTTTTTTTATGTTGCATTTAGGATTCGATTACGGAGCCAGAGCATATGCGGAAATTGTTCATAGGCGGTTTGGATTATCGCACGACTGATGACAATCTGAAAGCACATTTTGAGAAATGGGGCCAAATCGTCGATGTGGTCGTCATGAAGGATCCGCGCACGAAACGCTCTCGCGGCTTTGGCTTCATTACCTACTCCCATTCGAGCATGGTCGATGAGGCGCAAAAGGCGCGTCCCCACAAAATCGATGGACGCGTCGTTGAACCGAAACGAGCGGTGCCCCGCCAGGAAATCGATTCCCCGAATGCGGGTGCCACCGTTAAGAAACTGTTTGTTGGCGCCCTTAAGGACGATCACGATGAGCAGAGTCTGCGCGACTATTTCCAACACTACGGCAGCATTGTCGACATCAACATCGTCATGGACAAGGAGACGGGCAAGAAACGAGGCTTCGCCTTCGTCGAGTTCGATGACTACGATCCCGTTGACAAAGTTGTCTGTAAGTATTGCATATGTATATCGATAGACAATTTGATAGACAGTCCCAGCTCCGCATAGCAATGTTTGATGTGTCTGTGCGGCGTTTCATGGCTGTAACATAAATGTTATTGCACATATTATATCGCTGTTGATGAGACACCCTGCATGCCTTATTGATGAAAACGTATGCGCCACAAAGTTAAATGAACACAGTACTGACAAATTGACAAGCTTGCCCAACACTTGTACGGTTTCCTTTTGAACGCTGTGAGATTAATAGAAAAGCGTCGGCTTACGCTATGTTATGCGAATGTAATTAAATCACCTATTCAGCGTAACACGCAGCCTCGTTACATAAGTCTTAACTCTTGTTACATAGTTTATTACGTAGTCTAACTTCTAGGCTCAACTGTCCTAACTTTAAATATTTACTGAATATTTGAATTTCTTAGCAACCAACCAGCCATTGTAGTATTATTTTCCACAGTCCCAGCTCCGCATAGCAATGTTTGATGTGTCTGTGCGGCGTTTCATGACTGTAATATAAACGTTGCACATATTATATTATTGTTAATGAGGCACCCTGTATGCCCTATTGATGAAAACGTATGTGCCACATTCATTTCATTCATACATATTTATGTCATTTTCGATTGCTGTATATTGCGTACAAACCACTTTTTTTTTGCTTCTCTCAGCAACATCTTCGTAAGCTTAATTACGTTAATATTTCAACGTAACGTTACGTTGCCTAATTTCTGATTTTGTTCAAGAAAATGTTTTGCAATTGTGCATAGAGAAGCACTAGGTCTTGATTTTAGTTTAAAACAACATTTCGAGGCCTTTTAAGACTGATGTTAACATTGTCATGCTTTATTGGACAAAGAATATTTGGAGGAAGAAAATAATTTAAGAAACTTGAGCACTTGCTGCTCTACACAGTACTGACAAATTGACAAGTTTGACCATCTTTACGGTGTTATTTTGAAACGCTGTGAGATTAATAGAAAAGCGTCGGCTTACGCTATGTTATGCGAATGTAGTTAAATGCCCCTATTCAGCGTAACACGCAGCCTCGTTACAAACGTAAATCAATTACGTATTGCTGTATTTGTATTGAACAGTTCCAGACCCGCTCTACACACGTGTGTTTTTGCGGTTCTTTACAACACTGTAAAAGCTGTTAAGCCCAGCCAATATTATATTTTAGTCATCGGTGGCTATTTTCGCTTGCCGCAATGATCAATGAATGTTGGCCCAAATCGAACTCTTTATAGTTTTATATTTATTATTGTGTTCGCTTTTTTGTATTTTTCTAATCCATTTTTTTTATTTCTGCTATTTTTCACAGTGCAAAAGCAGCATCAGCTCAATGGTAAAATGGTGGATGTGAAGAAAGCGTTGCCCAAGCAGAATGAAATGGGCGGCGGTGGTGGTGGGCGTGGTCAGGGCGGTGGTCGTGGTGGTGGCGGCAATAGGGGTGGCAACATGGGCGGCAACATGGGTGGTGGTGGCAACTTTGGCAGCCAGAACGGCAGCTGGGGCAATCGCGGCGGCAACAATGACAACTGGGGTGGCAACAGCAACTTTGGTGGCGGCGGCGGCGGCTACGGTGGCGGCAACAATTGCTGGGGCAACAATGCCGGTCCCTGGGACAATAGTTGGGGCAACAATGGCGGTGGTTTCAGCGGTGGTGGTAGCGGTGGCGGCGGCGGTGGTGGGGGTGGCGGCGGCAACTGGGGGGGCAGCAGTGGCGGCGGCGGCGGTGGCAACGATTTCGGTAACTACCAGCAGGGCGGCTACAGCGGAGGACCACAGCGTGGCGGTGGCTTCGGCAACAATCGCATGCAACCCTATCAGGGCGGCAGCTTTGGCAACAAAGCAGGTAAGCAGCAACAACTCGAATGATTCTCTGCATCCATCCACCATCCTGTACATATATATATATATAAATATATATATATATGTTTTTAGCGAGTGCAGCATGCATGCGCAATGAATGCCTTTGATTTTGAAAAACGGGGGGTTTTTTTTTTTTATTAACATCCGTGCTGTACTCGATAATAACGAATGTATCTATTATCTATCCATCTATCTATTAACTATCGTAGACAAATCACAGTATTATAGACCCTTGACCAACTATAGAGTGCTTAGCAGTTGGCACTAAGCTGTGAGAAATGTATACTTTATAGAAAAATTTACATATATATAATGTATATATTTATTATATATATCTTAGTCTAGTCAAATATTAGTTTAAGCCAATGTTTTTTTTGTTGGGGTTAGCAAAACTTTTCTAAAAAAAAGTGCACGTCTGTGTATGGGTTCGTTTCTTTGTTCTTTAAGGCGGTGGCAACCAAGGCAATTATGGTGGCAACAATCAGGGCTTCAATAACGGTGGCGGCAACAATCGCAGATATTGAGGCGCCCACACGAGGTGAGCATAGTTTTATAACTATTTAGTTAAGGACCCCTAACCAACAAAAACAAAACTAAAATAAAAAGAAAGAACAGCTAGCTTCGGCGCACCGAAGTCTAAATACCCTTGCAGAACAAAAATCTGATAAAATAAAGAAGATATCATAACTTAACTTTTGGCCGATTGTTCCTATGGAAGCTCCGATCCGAACGATTCCGACATTTATGTATAGCCAATAGTAACATAAAGACGTATAAGCACCAAGTTTGACCATGATAACTTCAAAACTGCCAGACTCAAATATTTGGGTAGATAGATGGACAGTTTGACCTGGCTATATAGACGCACTTTACGACGACAAAGTTATAATACAGCACTCTGCAAGGGTATACAAAACGAGAAAGTTATTTGAGCGATGAATCTACAAAAACCATTTTAATTTTTTTTGTTAGTTTTCTTTTATTTTTTAATTAAACATCTTGTGTAGGTTTCTTGCGTCATTTCTTTTTGTATACATATATAATAATAGAACTATTTTTATATCCTATCGGCATTTTCCTGGTAGTTTTCTAACAGCATCATAGAACCGAAAAATATTGAAACGAAATATATTTTCTGTTTAAAAACCTCTTTGAATTTTTGAAACTAATCATGCCTCTTTTAAAAATAAAAAAATACATATTTATTTTACGTAAAAGTATTTAGAAAAAAAGCCAAAAACATTTAAGTACTGTTGGAATGCATTACAAAAAAAAAAAAAAAAAAAAAAAACAACAATTGATTTAAATAACGTTTCTCATTTATCGACATTTTTATAGGTGGTAAATTAGCAGGTGCTCAGTTTATGCCCAAAAGTCAAAGTCAAGTAAACGATACGCAATTCAATGATATGAGCAACAACTCATATACCTAAAAAGAAGAAGTTTTCCGAGAGAACACACTCCATACTCCATACCAAAATCATGACAGCAGCCAGCATCAGCACAGAAGATAAAAACAGAGACAGAGAGATACAGACAGACAGTGAAGAGAAGTGAAGTGAAGAGAGAGGAGCGAGCAGTGCAGGTGTGCGCAGTGCAGTGCAGTTGAACTCGTGTGAGATTTTGGTTCAGTCACAAAGTCAGTACAAGTACACAAAAGAACAGCAGCAGCAGCAGCACTGGTGTATCTGTGTGTGTGTGTATGTGTGTGTGTCTAAGTTTAAGAGCAGCGATAATCATATCTAACAGAAGAGAATGACAGAGAGCAGCGTCAGCGTGTGAGCAGCAGCAGACAGTTAAGAGAACTTTCAAATTACAAGAGAGAGAGGAGCAAAGAAGCACACATACGCATGCATCCAAGCAGTACACGTACACAGCAGAGCCTGGCCAGGATTATTCAATATATAAGTGTAATTTTGCACAGTCACGATTTATATATATGTCTATATTGATTGATTGATTGATTTAACACACCAAACCTCTACTACCTACCTATATTCAATATATATATTCAATAGTATAAATATTTATATATTCAAACAAACATTTTGTAGCAAAATCCAAACAAACAACAACAAAAAAAAAACAAAAAAGAAATTAAGCAACTTTGTAAAGTAGGTTAATGTTCACAATCTGTGTAGCTAAAGCAGAAAAATAAGCATAAACAAATCATAAAAAGAAAACATCAACAACAACAAAAAAGAAAATTAAGCTAAAACTTTTTGTATCCTTGTGTAGTCCTCATTCATTTGCTTGACAAAGAAACAAACAAGAAAAAACTCAAAAACTTCATGGCGGCAGCTAAATAATTTTACAGCTAACTTGGCTGCCGTTCGCAATTTTCTGATAATCAGTGCAAAGAAATTACACAAATCTATATATATATATATATATTAAAATGTATTACTACTTTTTCTCTAGGCTTAAGTTCTCTCATAATTTAAAAAAAAAATGATTAAAACAAACGACGACGAGTGTAGAAGAAGTACGGGCTCATTTTTCAAGAGTCGCGCGCTGCCTTAGCATTAATTATATATACATATATTTACATACATAAAATGATATATCATTGTATGATCATATGTAGAGAGCGAGCAGCAGCGATCAGGAGCTTTTCTAATGCTCTCGTATCAAAATCGATATATCTCTCCCAAAATGTGTGTGTTTAGTTGTAACCAAAACAAAAACAAAAAGAAACAATAACAAATTAATTGTAATCGTTACCTTGTAGCAGTTTTGTATTGCAGTTATCTATCTATCGAGAGAGGTCGGCGCAATTTTAAGGATTTTAATATGTTAACGAAAATTTACATTTAAATTTAGCAAAAAGAAAGATTTAAAACAAAATACATACTACATACAATCATGGAATTTATGTAAAAATTGACAAAAGAAAATGAAAAAAAAAAATACCAACAAAAATTAAAGAAAAAAAAACTTTGTTTAGTGTTAGTATTTATTTCGTATCTAGTTTAAGTTCCATATTCAGGCTAAAAGGCGAGCAGCAGCAGAGTCAAAGGAGGCAAGTAAATAAGCGATTAGAGTCGAGTCAGTGTAAGCCAATAATTATATATTCCCCATAACGGTAATGGTAGTGATTATGATTATTGTGGGTCTCGTTTTTGGGGGTGGGCGGGCGCACCTTTAATTCGACATTTATGATTTCTTATGATTTTCATTTAAAGTGGTTTTCATTTTGGAATGCACCACCACCAACCACCGTATATTACTATACTCGACATTGTATACCATTTAAATTTTTTGTATATATTGTAATTTCTGTTCCAAGTTGGCTGAAAAAAGTATTGCAAAGCGCTGAAAAGACGGTCGCCAAGCTACAAAAACAGCCACAAAGCGGACAAAATCAGCTCAGCACTAGAAATTTGGGTCGGCAGCAAAACCACCTCGTCTCTACCCCCTGGGAATGATCAATGTGTGTGGGTAAGTGGTAATTTTCAGGTGGCCTACAATGGTTTGGAAATCGTGCTGCTGCCAACGAAACTAATGAATTATATTATAATTTATTTTATTTTTGATAAACACATTAATAAAAAACGTCGATGGAATTCGAATAAATGTTGTTTACTATTTTGGTGCGGGGGCAGTGTGTACACACTTATAAAGTTGAAGATGTTAACTAACATTGGGTAATCGTATGTATTTTTTATTGCTGACAATTAGAAATGTGCAACTTTTGAGACTTCATAGCTGCTCTGACGAGGCTTTTATAAGGGGAACTACAAAAAATAGCAACCAGCTCTATTTTTAAATTGCGACTTGAGTCTCGCTAGCGCTATAAATTGATATACAACAGGGTGACTCTTTCGTGTTATCGAGGTACGTGGCCATCCCTAGTCTTAGAGCGTCAACAGAGAATGTTAACTAACAGAACAGCTGTGTTATAATTTTAAATTGAATTGAAAGCATTTAAATTGTAATTTAAACAAATATAAAAATTAAGTCAAAAGTGTGTGCCGGCCGCTTACAATGGAGAGCAGTCGCGTTGTACAATTCGTGTACAACTACAAGGACTATGCGAGCAAAGATTGCCAAGCCAAACTGGATATTAAATTCCCCTTTGAGGATGGCAGCTTGGAGGAGTTGGTGACTCAGCTCTTGGCCCAAATGCATCCAATGATGCGCTATTTGGACGAGAATATCAGTAGCGTATACCATATGTTTATACCAAGTGTAGATAAGTTTTATCAGACACTCCCCCAAATTAGATCTGGAGCGAGAACTGCAAACGTTTATTGAACGGGAGCATCAAAAGTTCCACGATGATTATGCGGAAAGGTTAATCAATCAGGCGGCAAATGAAGAGCTGGACTTGGAGGCCATAGTGCGGCACACAGAGCGTCTGTACAAGGACGAACTGTTGCAATTTGCGGATCGCATTGGGCCCAGCGATGAGGACATCTTTGCGCAGAGTTTTCATCGGCTGGTGCACTCATCCTCCCTGGAGGATATACTGAAGCGTGAGCGTAACTATGCCAAGATCATAGCAGACATGACCGAGCACATGGATGCCGAGGTGGAGACTCTGAACAACTCTCAGCAGCAGGAAATGGACAGTCAAATTAATCAACTGGACATCACAACAACATCGGAGGACATTAACAATCTGCTCGCCCAACAATATACCACACAGAATTTTATGCGCAAGCGCTACGAGTCCGAGCTGGAAGCGATGATAGGTCACCAGAAGAATGAGTATCGCGACTGGATAACGAGTCAAGTCAGTCAAATGTTTCAAGTGTCGCCGGTGTCGACACCACTGGGTAATCGTTCCTCGATGTTCGTCTCACAGCAGCCATCGATGGAGGAGAGCTTCACAATCCATTTGGGATCGCAGTTGAAGCACATGCACAACATACGCATCCTCAGCGCCAATGTGACCGATTTGTGTAGTCCCCTGCATGCGGATGAGAATCTCAATGGTTTGAATATGGCATTGGGTCTGTATTCCAGTTCCTTGTGCGGCGTTGTTGTGCTAACGCCATCGATACAGGCCCAGGCCAATAAGAGCATCATTAAGAATGCGAACAGATCGACAGAGTTTCATTTCGATCAGATGGACGTGCAGCTGGAGAAGATCGAGAAACAGATACGCGCCTTAAACACTAGCGATACAAGCAGCACTCCCAGCCAGGGAAGTGGCACTGGGAATGGTGGTGATGGCAGCGCCACATCATCGCCGGCTAAACAATCGGTGGCGCGGCTCAAAACGGGTGATTTTTTTATAACCAAACACTCGAACCTCTCTCAATCGCATGTGATCTTCCATCTGATCTCCGATGAGCCCATCAACAGTCCCAGCGAAATTAACTCCAGGCATCCGGTGATTTTGGGTCTGCGCAATATCCTTAAGACTGCCAGTCGACATGATATAACCACGCTAACGATTCCGGCGCTACTGCGTCACGAGATGAGCGAGGACATGACCGTCCAGTGGTGTATTCGTCGCGCCGAGCTTGTCTTCAAGTGCGCCAAAGGATTCATGATCGAATCTGCCTCCTGGGGTGGTGCTGAATTGAGGTACGTTTTTTTTTTCCTTTTTTTTTTTAAATTAAATCTTAACCAGGCTTTTTTTTAGCACGTTGCAACTGCTGCTGCCCCATGACATATCCGAGGAGCTGTTCACAACGCTGGCCGGCATGGTGCCCAATGTGTTTCGCGTTGCCAATCCCAAAATACTCGTTGACAATAACAAGTAGAAAACATTCCTCAGAAATGTATATTATATTTAGTTATATGTACATTTTAACTAACGAATTAAAGATTTAATCTAAATATAATTTTGAAAATTCCTGAAATAAACATTGCTTTAACATTCAAGAAACCTAAACTCGGACAAAAAATCGTCCTGAATTTTAGAAAATTTAATAATACATTTTAATAAGTATAAGAAAAAAATTTAAAGAATTATAAATGCTGTTTCTCACTCAACAATAAATCGTAAATATATATTATCTTCTTTTAATCTTAAAATACTAATGAATAATAATATAAGAAATACTAAGGAAATTATACATCTTTATTCTAAATTTTAGAAATTTCAGTGTGTATATTTTGAAGAATCATATATTTATAGTTGATTTAGCTAAGTTTATTTGTGCTTCGATTGTCACACAGTTTGATTTGATATGCATTTTCCTTTTGCAGATGGATTAGATATTAAGAAGCTGTTATTTTTACGTTTAAGTCAAGCTTCGATTCAAGTAGTTGGGTTTAATTAATTATCAAATTTGTAATTAATTACTATCTGCAAATATGTAACAACAAGAATTATAAACAAGAAGCGACCGATATCTTAGGCACTTCTAAGATTATTTACTTCGACAGACCGCAGACTATTTATATTTCAAAAATCGATCGATAGTTCAAATTAAAGTATTAATTTTATTTTGACGATTTTATTCATTAGCCAAATACATTTCAGTGATTATGAATGTTTCCGTGTTTTTGGGGTTGCTTACAGTTTCTTTAGCGTGGAACTTAACCCGACTGATAGAATGGATATTATGAGATATAAGAATGCAATATAGGAAGAGAGGCTGTCCAACCTGTTGACTGCCGATCCTGCTGGCGCTGGAGAAGCTTCTGGGTGCCGTTGTGCAGGTTATGCAGAACTATTAAGGCTAATATAATTTATTCATAGAGAAATACATATTTGAAAGACTTGTAATTATATTTTTATGAATATAAACTTTATTCAGTTTCATAGCTATATTTATTTTTTATATGTATAATGCTTCGTTTCCTGTCATTTCGCGCAAAATGTTGTTTTATTTTTAAACTAAACACACTCAGAATTGCTGTGTAAATGTTCCTGTATCCAATTTCGTCAATATAATAATCCATAGTTATTATTATTTCATATTTTTTAATTAAACTTCAACTACAACACTACATTGTATAAATAGATGTATATATTTTGTATAGGTAATCTTGTGTATTTATGTGTATTACTTCCAAATTTAAGTATTTATCTTTGGTTTCATTCGACCACTCCCAAATCATGCAAATTTGGGGTTCCATTTTGTATGGGTTGTGGGTGTAATTCAGTTTCTTGTGTTCGGCTATTTTTTATAATGCTTTAATGTTTATAATGTATCTTTGAATAACTCTGCTTGTTAACTTGTAAATATTTTTTTGTTTTGTTTTGTGAAATAAATATATCTTTATATATATATATATTTATATTTATGTATATATAACAATTAATTACGTTATAATGTTTCATTTTAAATCAACATTTCGCTGTTAAAGAGTTAATGTTTATCTTTTTAGTTTTTTTTTTTTTTTTTGGATTTAGCCAAGTACGTTGTATGGTTTTTTTTGCCTGTGTCTGTGTGTTTTATGTTTGTTTTGCTGCTTTGCAGTTTGAGTAGAGTTTCTGAAAATATTCGTTCTGAGAGTTTAATAATATATAAGTTGTTGTGTGTACAGGTCATTTTGGGGAACATGGGATCGGGTGTGTGTGATTTTAAAATGTGTGACATATAGGTACAGGAACGGGTCACATGAAGTGTTTCAAGGTGTCTCTAGGATTACATAAGTGTGCTAAACTGAATATCATATAAATCGTTTGTGTTTGGTTAAGAAATGCATTATAAAAATTGACTTAAACATCATTATAATATATATATATATATATGCTAGATATTAAATAAATTATATTATTCAGCCCTTTGTCGAATACATGTACTTAATATTTTGTTTAGTATGGCGCTTAGAGTTTGATCAAATAAAACGCTTAATTCAAATAATTGAGAGTTTTTTCAGCATAGTTATGTATAATTAAATTGGGTTCTTTTATCATATAGGAAGGATTGACTATTTTTGTTTAAATATCTGCAAGGGTATTCAAACTGCAAGCATGCCGAAGATATATTTTCTTGCTTCCATTTAATTTCGTTGCTATATTTTAAAGGTATTTTTCTACGATTGCATGCCAAAAATGTACTCGAAATATAATGAAATATTCTATACTGCAATATGGATCCTAAACAGCTTAATACTTTTGCGCGTGCCTTAGACTACGAATCATTTTTGCGAATAGGTCTAGTTGTATTTTAGTTATTTAAAAAAATTGGGAAATACATAATATGAGTTGTATACTAAAATTTAAACTATCACAAAAAACAAATACTCGTTTTATAAAGTATATAAAAGTATGAACTCAATAAAGTCAAAATACAATCTACATTATAATTGAGTATGCAAGTGTATGTATGTATGTGGGTGTGTCTGTGTGTAGGTGAGTGTGTAGGTGTGTGTGCCTTAGTGTTTACATTTGACTCTCCTTGCGCCACTGGAAGGTGCCCGACTTAACGCCAATGCTCGATGAGCCCTGATTGCTGCTGGAGGAAAGCATGTTGTTGGTTCTCCTGATGAGTTGGGCTGCCGAATCAAATCGACTGCGAATGAGTCGCATTGCAGGATTACTGGAGACGCCACTGCGCTTGCTCTTGCTAAATGGATAAATAAAGAATTAGTTTTGATTTTCGAAAATGTTCTTTATTAAACCTACCTTGATGAACTGGGCTGATTCTCCTTAAGGTTGCCCAATATAATGCGCATGTGCGTATCTCGCGCAAAATGATTATCGGGCAAAGCGGACTTTGAACCGCCATTGCTGGGTCCAGCTCTGTCATCATCGACAAACGCATTCAGAGCGGGCAGTTGTCCGGGCGAGCTCAACTCGCTGCTGGGCGAATGTGGGGGCGTGGCATACAACGGTGACATGCACTCCATATCATACAGATCCGCCTCGTTGGTCATGTTGCTTGCTGTGGCGAGCAGTAAAATATATTGGAAAGATTAGATGTGGTTTCAGCTACAATAATGAGAAGCTTAAGCTCACCTAGCTGATGCTCGCTGAGATCGGGCAGCACTTGAGAGTGACGCTGATGAGCGCCTGGGCCACCATTGCTGCTGGATTTGTGTGACGCTGCCGCCGCCGCCGAGCTGGAGGCATGCTTTGAGTTGACCATCAGATTGTTGCGTGAGCTGAGTTTGCTTTGTCGCTGCAATTGCTGTGTGAAGGTTAGCGGCGCTTGCTGGAAAAGGGGACAAACTTAGCAAGTGGAAGATGATGTTGCATAATGTTACTCAATACTCACATCATTGCTGCTGCCCGTGGATTGACTAGAGATGACGCTCTTGCGCTTGTGCAGACTGCTCGTATCCGATTGCATCGTATTCTGATAGAAATTGTTGGAGCTGTGCGTCGAACTTGATGCATTTAGAGCCTGCAGCTGGCTGCCATTGTGAACGGTGGCCGTTGTGGCGGCGGAGCAAACGGATGAGGCGGATGCGTGTGCCGGATACGGGGCGAGATTTTGGTGCAGGGGCAACGCCGGCGGCTGATCAGGAGAACGCAGCATGCTGGCATGGAATTTCGTTTCATTGGGATTGCTAGCTTCATCTACGAGGAGGATAAGGGATTTCGTTAAATATCAAGCAAAATTTATACTCAAATCAAGCGTTATTAAAATCCAGACAAGTTTGAGAATCCTGGACAAGACAAGGGAATTTCGATTTCAAGATCGTTTTTTGTTAACCCGAAATATCGTCGCCATTCATATCTTAAATCAAGTAATAATTTGGCGTAAAATATTTGTTTCTAATTTTGAAGTAGTTCATTTTTAAAATCATTACTAATATCAATTTCAAATAACCCCAAATCAGTTGAATCGAAGAACTAAAGTTCATAAATTAAGAACGCTTTAAACTAATTTTAAACTCACTTAAATCATTCTTATTTGATGAATTCGAACTCAGTCGTACTTGGATTTGGAATGGTTATATTCACTTACTTTTGGTATAGCTCTCAAAGATCTTGAGTATGCTGCTGCGACTGGATTTGGCCGCCAGTTTAATCGGTGTCCGTCCGCAATGGTCCGACTTGTAGGGATTGGCGCCAAACTGGAGCAGCGCAATGACGCATTTCTCGTGCCCCTCCTGGGCGGAGATGCCCAACGCTGTGGCTCCCTGCTTGCAGGCATGATCCGCAAGGGCGCCATAGTAGAGCAGGATGTTCATCACATCGTGATTGCCCTGCCAGGCGCAGGAGTGTAACGGTGTGCGCGCTTCCAGATCCATAGAGTTAACATCGGCACCAGCTTCGATGAGGGTCTTCACCATATCCGTATGTCCTTGCCAGGCGGCGACATGCAGCGCTGTACGTCCCTCGCTATCGGGTATATTGACATCGACATTCGTCATGTCCAGCAGATACTTGACTATGTCCATCTTATTCTCCAGCGCCAGGATGTACAGAGTGGTGCGCGAGTCGGCATCCTTAGAGTTGACATCGCAACAGAACTTGAGCAAATACTCCACTGTCTCCATGTGACCCTCGAGACTGGCCAGACGGAACGCCGTCTTGCCATCGTGTGCCTTCTGATCCACAAAGCTGGAGTGGATGTCCAGTAGGGTCTGAACACAGCGCAGCCTGCCCTCCTGGGCGGCCAGATGGAGTGCCGTCTTTCCCTCGTTGTCGCACTCATCGATCTTGGCCCCTGATTCCAGCAGCTGCAAACACACCTCATGGAAGCCCTCAAAGGCGGCATAGTGCAACGGAGTCCAGCCGGCATTATCGCGATGCGTTTCATCTAGACCACGATCGAGTAGTTGACGCACTGTCTCCACATTGCCCTGAGCGGCGCCAATGCTGAGCACCGTGCGTCCTTCACTGTCCATGCAATCGATGCCACAGCCCCAGAAGAGCAGGAGACGCACCACCGTCGCATGTCCAGCGGTGCAGGCCGCCCACAACGGTGTACGACCCATAAAATCAGCAAGATCCGGATCCGCAGCATTCTCCAGCAACAGTTCACAGACCTCTGCATTGCCTTCGAAGGAGCTGACGAGCAGTGGCGACATGCCATCATTGTCCAGTTGATCCGTATTCGCACCATGATCGAGCAATGTGGAAATGACCTTGCTATACCCGGAGGAACCACACAAGGCGGCTACACACAGCGCACTGCGTCCATCCAAATCCAAGTGATTCACATTAGCGCCATTGTCCAAAAGAATCTCCACAATGTCATAGTGACCCATATAGGAAGCGGCAATGAGCGAAGTGCGTCCCTGACGATCCACCGAATTAACATCCGCACCCGACTCGATCAGCAGCTTCAGGATATCCTCATGTCCACTCCAGGCAGCAGCGCGCAATGCTGTGCGCCCCTCCTTATCGGCCAGGTCAATCTTGCAGGCAGGCTGGGCTATTAGAAGACGCACCACCTCGCTGTGACCACCCCACGATGCAGAACGCAATGGTGTCCAGCCATCGCGATCCGCATGATTAACATCCACACGCTTCATGCGTCCAGTGCCATCGTTGCAGGGCTGCGAGAAGCTTAGCAAGAGTTTAACCACCTCCAGATGACCATTCCGGGAGGCAATATTCAGCGCTGTCTGGCCATTATAATCCTCAATCTCCAGATCAATGGGACTCTTACAGGCATTGAGGGCACGCTCCAACAACTGATGATTGCCATCGTTGGCCAGGATGTGTATCAGAGCCTTGCCCTTGTGCAGCTCAATGTGATGCGAGTCGGAGAGTTGATGCAACGTACTCGATGCATTCTCGTCCTGGCTCTCATGCGGTGGCTCACTCTGCTCCGAGGGGCTAATCGTGCGTTGCGTCTCCTGTAGACAACTCTTCTCGCTGGAGAGCAATAAATCCGCCAGCTCAAAGTCAATATTCTGCGACTTGTCCGACAGTTCGGGTGACATCAGCGATGATTCGCAGGAGTTTTGCGCTTCGGCATTATTTATGCCCGTCTCGATGAGTAGTTTCAACATTTTCGCATCCGTCGGCAGACTCGGCTTGAAGAAGTCGCAAAGGAACTGCGCAAACGGTTCACTCAACTCATTGGCCAGAAAACGATCCAACATGCTGCGGGTCTTGGGCAGAAAATTGACATCATTTTTGAAATCATGCTCACATTGAGCACAACAATTCAAATGGTTGGTATAGAAACAATCGCTGAGATTCAAACGCGATTCGAGCAACATTAAAATGAGATCCAATTCCACATGGCGACTGGTGAGATACTCGCCAGACTTGATCAGGTGATAGGCAAATCTACGCACCGTATTGGCACAGAGAGTGTCCGCCACTAACAGATAGTACATGGAGATCATGACATGTCCTTCATTCACATCGCAGATGAATTTCTTGGTGGCAAACTTCACATCCACCAGCCAATCCGCAAAGGAGTTGTGAAAGATCTTCAAGCGTTGCGCATTCGCATCATAGGCGAGAATGTTGCGCATTAGTTGCAGACGCTTCTCAAACTCCTGGCAATCGATGGTATAATTATGCGTCCTCAGACAGTTGAAGAGGAACAACTTGTCCACATAGCCTGAGGAGGCGAGCAGGACATTCAACAGTGGTCGTATCTTCATGTACTGTTTCTTGTTGAAGGACTTCTGGCAGATGTACAAGTACAGACCGTTCAGAGTGCATGGGATTAGCTTGATCTCGCGAAAACTAAAGAAATTATCCTTGATGCCATGCAGAACCTTCTCCAGATAGAGTATACAGCCATTGGATTTGATATAGAGCTGATGCAGCGACTCTATTATCTCCTTGGTCAGCATAATGCTATCCTTAAAGTCCGAGTTCAAACGATTAATGATATACTCTTGCACATCCTTGACCACATGCGATTTGCGTAGATCATCGAGGGTGATCTTCTTGAAGCCCGTAAACATTTTTGTTATCTGCTTCGTTTGCTTCTTTGTGGTGCAAACGAGGAACAACCACTTGGGGAATAGGTGTATATGATTGGAGAGTAGCTCGGCAACGTTGCGACTCTTGTGATTGGTCACCGTGCCACGTCCACCCTTTAGGGTTGAGATCAGATTGCCCTCATTGATGTAGTTCTCATCAATGGAATCGATGAGCAGCAGCAGCGCGGTCTTTGGCGGCGTCAATTCGAGTAGTGGAAAGAGCAGTGCCTTCTTGAAGCACTCATCCGGATTCTTCTCAATGCTGTCGACGCTGAGGCACTCGAGTATCTCCGGATTCGACATAAGCAGCTCGTAGTAGCCATCGGCAATGATGGTCCGACAACTTTTCGTCTTTGGTAGTGGTGGCGGTAATGTGCTGGTGCTATTGATCGGCTTGGGTTTCTCACCGGGCACAGGTGGTGCCGTTGGTGGAGTGCTTGTGACCTCCACTTGCTCCACACTGGGTTCGATGAAATCGATGAGCGGTTCTGCTTCGGATTTATCTGTCTCCTCTTTTGTTGTTTCTGCTGTTGGTGTTGTTGCCTGCGTTTCCTTATCCGCCTCAGGCTTGTCTTCGTTGTGCTTCTCCTCCTCCTGCTCCTCCGCCTGTTTGTCATCCTTGATGGCCGCTTCGATTTCGCTTTTTAGCTGCTCGCTGACCAAGTCGGCGATATCCTCGCCGCCACCCTGCTGTATGCTGTTGGTCGTGGGAGTAGCCGTCACCAGTTTGGCTGGTGAGGAAACACCGCTGCCGGTGCGTCCACGTTTGACGGGTATTTTCGACTTGGATTTGATGGGACTGCTTTTGGGCGCCTCCTTGTCCTTTTCCTTTTCCCTTTCCTTTTGCTTCTGTTCCTTTTCGCTGCCAGTGTCTTTGTCCTGCTCGCCACGTTCTGCAATTGGAGCGGAGACACCGCCACGTTTCGGTGGATGTGTTCCGTAGCTGTTGCCCCCGCCGACGGGCTTCTCTACAGTCTCCTGAGGTGCTGGCTCCGATTGTTGTCGGGTCAAACCCGATTTTACTGCGGACCTCTGACCCGTTGAGGTGCGCTGCTTGTGAAAGTTCTCCAGCTCTTTGGTGTCGCATTCGCTGGCACCTCGCTTCAGCTCCTCGATGAGCAGCTCTTCGGCATTCTCGCTCAGGCTGATATTTTGCATGGCCTCGTCCAGCTTGGATTCTTGCTGTTGCAGAAATGAGAAGCCCTCATCGATGATACGATGACTATCCTCGCGACTGATTAGTGATGCATGACTGAGCAGCTGCAGCACAATTTTGCGCATGAACAATGACAAGCTGTGACACTCGGGATTCTGGGATTCGATTAGATAGCAGGCGAGCAGCTTGCGATTCAGGATGCCCTTGGTGCCCGAGTTGCCCTTCATGATGGCCTGGCATATCGAGGTCTTACCCGAACCATTTGATCCGAGCACAAGGCACCCATTGTAGCTTGAACTGGATATGGCGGAAGCTTTGGCCCGGGCGGACACATAACCCGAACTAACACCAGCAGCACCCAGACCGGCAACCGGCATGGGTTTCTTGCCCGCTGTACGCTGCTCCAGACACAGCGCAATCTTCTTCAGCACCCACTCGCGATGTATATAAACACTGCTCACGATACGCTGATGATGACTGGGCGGCTCCAGTGGCGCCAGGCCGTTGACTTCTTTATCCGGCGAATGCTTGCGCTGCATCAGCGACTCCAGATTATCAGCTGTTTCTGGCGCAGGCTGCTGTTTGCCACCAGGCTCGAGGCCATCCTCCTCGGGCGCTGAACTCCCATTCGTAAGATCCAGTGCAAAATTCTGCTGCACAAGATTAGCAAAATGCTCCTCACGTGCCAAATTTGAAAAACTGGCATTGGGACAATCGCGACCACTTATCTCCAGTTTCTTGTGCACCTGTGTCGTGTCCTTGAGAAAGTTGAGTATGCGTCGATCCTCCAGTTGCTGATTGGGCGTGGCAACAGCCGACGACTGATTGTTGTACTTGGAACCACCAACGAGTGCACTAGTCGAAGCATTCGCATCCGCCTCGCGTTCCCCCACATCCTGCTCCAGCTCATCATTCGCATCTAGATCGGTTACCTGATCGCAAAGATCGAAAATATTTATTATAATAAAATACGGATATAAAATAAAGTAATATTATGAAATTACTATTGGCTTAAAATCGAGTTTAGTTTAGATTGGCCGAACTAAAACATTAGAAATAAATATTTTTCTTATTTTTTGTTTGAATAAATAATTAAAACTAAGTAGGACTTTTTTGTAAGAGTTACCTGCACCGGATTCCCATTACGCCTATTGGAGTCCCTCAAATTGGACAACTTGGCATCGCCAGCCGCTGCTGCTCCTTCCATGCGATGCCGTTCGCTACTCTTGTAACGATCCGATTTGCGTAGAGGAGTCGCATAGAGCATCTCCTTGGGCAGGTTGCCAGCAGCAGTGTTGACGTTGTTGCCTAGCGAATTGGAGTTGGCATTCGGATTGCTGTTGCTGTTGCTATGATTCAACAGCAGTAGCTGTTGTCCCCCGCCAGCCGATGAGGATTTCTGATGATGTTGCTGTTGTTGCTGCTGCTGCTGTTGTTGTTGCTGCATTTTGCGCACAGATTCATTATACATGGCCTGACAGGGCAAATTCTCGTAGATGTCATTGCGCAGATTATCGTTGTCTGTATGCTTAGACATTGTCGTTGCTATTTGCTATTGTTGTTGTAGTTGTACTTGTTGTCGTTGCCTTTTGGATTACTCCTAGTTTTCGAGTATTTACACAGCTTGTTTATCCTTGCCTTTATTTCGATGAAAGTCCACTGACTGCAAGTAAATTAAAAATGATTCGAAATTTCAGTTCACAGTTTTGTACTTAGACTGTAAGTCATTTATTCTATTATTATATATTATTTATTTATTTATTACATCATTCAATATCGATTTTTATCGATAACTTTCTTAGTTAGTTACTTAGATTTACGCTTGTTTTATTTTTTAAATATCTACGATGTGTGCAACTCAAGATAGGCAAGACTTGGGATTAAGGTATCTCATAGTACCTCCTAGTAGAGCTTCCTCGACAAGTGCGTTCTTAGTGGTTTGACTCGAAATTATCTGTAGCTTTTAGCAAACATCCTGATAAAGGATATACAAGTATAAAGGAAATTATTGACAGATCTGCTGGACAGGAGCCAAATCCAGGAGCATCAGGTATTCTTTCTTCTTGTAAACGTTTTTGTTCTTGTTAGCATAAAGTATAAATATTTTCCGACCCCATATAGGATATCGATATTCTTGATCAGTGGTCCTTTTAAATTTGGTTAATTTAACAATAAAATATAGATATCTGCAAGGATATGTAATCATCGTCGTTCTCTCTTGCTGGCTGATGTTTCATCATTTTACTAAGAGGTAGCTGCTCGGGATGAGCTGTATTGGGAATCACCTATTTACTATAAATTCCTTAATTTATTCACTATATTTTCTCTTCCCTTAATCCCCTTAAGGCACTTATCGTAAAAGTAGCTAACGTTTGATTACATGATTACAGCGATATATGTTGAAGATGCACAATATTAGCTCGCATTAGCTTTTATGTGCCTTAGATTTTGCTCCATTGGACCTAACGAGCACTTTTCTTTTTTTATTTTTAAATTTACTCCTTAGCTTGTTGCCATTTTTTACGCTGACTTCACTTTTTTTTTTTAGTATCCTGTGCACAATTGACCTGATTTTGTGAACACACTTAACCCTTTGGCACATTCACACAGTCAGTTAAGTAAGCCAAAATCATCCGAGGTAGGTTCAGTAATAATCCCCAGATGATAGGATATAAAAAAGTTGCATATTAGGAAAAGGGTGCTAAAAGTTTTTAGATTTGAAATTAAATGATTCTGAGCTGGGCTAAAGTGGATGAAAGTTTGGTTTAGTTCAGACAAGATTAAGAAATAAATTATGGTGTTTCTATATGTCACCCCGCTCCGAAGAGTATACTATACATCTTTTCTGATTTTTTGTTATTGTAGTGTTGTTCAGAACAATTTTAGAAGAACTTAGTTTATCTTCGAGATCTCCTCAAGCGTAGATGTGTAGTTTACAATTTGCAGTTGTTATTCCCAAAAAAAAAATAAAAAATTGATTAACTTACGCTAACCATATATTATTATTATTTCCAATATACTTTTTGCCATGGGATAAATTGGACTGATGTTGGAAAGTTGTTTAAAACTGCCCTCGTATGTACAATTCTAGTCATTATATTTTTGTAGAGCTTGTCACTGGCCACCGTCTTTTGCTCTCGGCTTTTATCTAAGCCGTTTCTGTGCAATGCGCGTGGTTTTGTTGTGGGTGGATGGTTTAGTTGGGTGCTTCATTGGATGGTTGCAATGGGAGCGAGCTTCGGTGCTACACGCTCCGCAAATAACACTCTTTATGCTGGCAAAGTTTTTATTTTAAACTTCAATTTAGTTGTTGCTCTCGACGAGGGAGAAAAAGAGGGAAGGGAAAATGTAACTAATGATGCGCTCGGCGCAACTTGGTGAACTTTCAAAGAGAAATGGAGCAAATTCAGCACGTCCGTCTCGATGAAACAACTCTGAAACGTTAGGCGAACCACAGGAGCAACAGCAACAATAGTACACAGAGATAAACAAATTACAAGAGAGAAAGAGAGAGCTTGACAAGTTGAGATCCTGAACCCATCTGTTAAATACAGAGTTTAAGAAGTCGTACTAAATAGCAGTTGAAACACTTTTTTATCAAGTATTCTTACATACTTTTTTATTATTCATTCAAGTTCTTCATTCGTCATATTTTATTTCTTTATGTGTATAACTAAAATTCGCTCTAAAGAAAAAGAATAGGAATCGATTGAAGCACAAAATGATTAACGGCGTGGAGTGTCGTGTCTGGTGACACGAGAGGGAGAATAGTTGCCACAAAGTGTGTCAAGCATAACAATACTGACATTTGATAAATTACCATAATGTGAGCAAATCAGACGTAAAATCTTTTGATTAACCAACAGACAGCGACACTCACACAGATATCCCGGATGACCATTCGTCAAAGACAAATGAAAACTTGGCTAGTTGAATTGCGGTCTGTCTGTCTGTTTGTCAGTATTTTCCTGCAACCACTATTCCGATTTTCTGGACACGAAGCCACACAGGCAACGAGTTACAGCATGCTGTGGCATGAATGACCATTTTAGACTAATGTTATGATTGATGCGCCCCTGGCGGCCCAGAGAGGCGTTATATGAGTTGTTCTCTATTACGAGTCCGTAAGACATCCGTGTATTTTTGACAGATATGCGAAAGCATTCCATAATATCAAATATTTCTCACAATTCTTAATTTATATTTATATTTATTATATAACCATATTCTAAATTAGGTAAACTGTTGCCAAATCACGCATTGGACCGCAATGATTGCTGAACCGCTCCTGTGCATAAGTCAACCAAGTTGAAATACCGCCCACATTTTTGCTATTCAGCGCATTCAAGTTTGATCCACCAATGTCCAACAACAAGATTCATGTGTGTGCTTTCTCCTATCCGCCCTGTTTGTGTGCATTTTGCATTGGGTTATCCTGCAATCTTTTCGTTTTCTCTTTCAATTACAGAGGAATTGATTTTGAAATTGCTTTTATGATTTAAAAGGGAATTACTAGTTATTGTCATCGTGTAAATCACATTAATCAGAATTAAATTCAATAGTCAATTGAAGTCCAAAAACTGAACAGAAACCCAAATTGAACCAAAGGATAAAAAAAAATCAACTTAATTTCTAAAGCGTTTTCCGTGATGGAACTTTATAGAAGGAGACAAATAGAAGTGAGAAGAGTAAGTAAATTGTACGAGAACGTGTCAATGGCAAAAGCAGGCTAATTGGAAATTCAAGAGCGTTAAATAAGTCAACTAGAGTGCTTGTGTTTGCCAGAGATTTTTCAATTTTTTTTTATTTGCTGGCTGAAAGTTAAATTGGTCTGCCAGTTCGCAATTATGTTAATTAAACATACGTCACGCTTGAAATTCGCATACTGCACTTATTTTAATTAGTTAATGAATGGGAAAACGGTCTTCTTCTTCTATTATTTTACAGAAGTTAATTAAAAGTTTATTTAGGAAACTGTTTGCTTTAAGTACGTTGCCTGTTTAGTGTCCTTTGACTAGATAAAAGAAGGGATCTTTCTTTGAATATGCAAGTGTATTTTGGACATAAACAAAGAGCAGATCTGCATTTAGATGAAATATAAGGAATTAAGGAATAAGTTCAAATACTGTTAAAAGCCGTTTAATGTTTGTGATGTATTTTGCATGTAATGTTAAGATTCAGTTCAATTGGGAGCTGGTGCAATTAGCTATATAATGCTGTTATCAGCTCCGACTTTTGTCTAACCGCAGCATCTACGTCAAGTCACAATGATTATTATCTTTGATGTAACGTAAGTTTCTTAGAAATACACATCCAAAAATCAAAGATATTAAAAGTATTCTGGATTGAACCCTGAGCTTGAGATACGTCTTCAAGAATATATATTCTTGATCAGTATAATTAGCTGCGTTGATATAAAAATGCATATCTCTCTATTGCAATATAAACTAATCCCTCAGTTTTAAAACTATTATTTAGCTGTCATAGCAACAATCGGTTGAAAAATGGATTCTTGTATGAACAACTTTTTCCTTACCAATTTTTCCGGATCAAATTCATTAAATATACGTGTTATGATGATCACCAAAATTAAAAAAAAAAATCAGTTATTTCCGGCTACGGTCGGAAAGAGTGTTTGATGTTTGGTGTGCGTAAGGTCTTTATTCTTTCCAATTCTTATTGTATTTAATTTCAGGGCCAATAATTCAAAAAATAAAATGTACCCAGAAATTGTGCACACGTTGTAAAAATATCATCGACAAGCTGCCAAAATGAAATGTAAACAAGTGGAGGTGCTTAAGCAAAAATGAAACAATTTTAATTAATTGCGCCAAAAGAAACAACAACAAAAATCAACAAGAAACGAACTTTTGCTCTTGTTGAATATAAGTAAGCGAGGAATGTAAAACTGCGGTCAAAATAATAGTAGCGTAAAGATATGTGTTTGTAAAATGTTGATATTAATTAATTAATTAATAATATTTATAATATCATAACAATTTTATTTGAACATAAGCAATTAAAATTAAAGATAAGTAAGCATTGAAAGATGGGATATAACTACAAAGTTATTAATAAACAAATTCAAGTTTTTAAATTAATTTAGATAGCATACAAAAAAAATACGTGTAAGGAGATATATCTAAGAGTAAAATGATCCAATGAATCGAAGGGTTATGAAAGGAACTATGAAAATATTGAGCATTTGCATTTTATGAAGCAGCACTATTATTATTTTGACCGCAACTGTAAGCACACAAACAAACGTACGCATAGACCCACCTTCCCATGTGTATGCGTGAATAAATAAATTATTGTGCGGCAGGCAAGCAACAACATATGGCACAACAAAAGTGTATCTGCATCTCAGCTGGCAACTGTCTCTGTATCTGTATCTTTATCTGCGGGTGCATGTGTGTATCTGCAACTGACGGCAGCTGCCTGATCTTGGCAGCGTGGGAACTTAACAATTTTAACGCACTTTAAAGGCTCCTTGCTGCGAGACACATATGGATATGAAAAATAAGCTAAGCAAATAACAAGGTTAAAACTCAACCGGACGTGCAGCTGGAATAATTATAATGTTATCAAATGAAACTACGGCTACATACATGGTTTAAATATCTAAGACTACTTAAAAGATAAAGTTAAAGACTTGTAAAT